GAGTTTACCTATGCCCAATGCTCTTAAGGCCTTTAACTTTATGACAAAGCAATAATATTAAACACATGCAAGTAGTTTGTAATGATTAGTTTTTGAACATTTTTCGGAAGTAGTTGTTATCCAATATCGAAAGCAAAAAGAAAAGCAAGCTATTCCTGCTTTTATTATCAGGTAATTACTTTGTCTTGATCGATTGCTTAGCCATCCAAGATAAGATCTCGAACAAAGTGCAGCACTCAAGACCAATTGACAGTTGAGTTTTGTTGGTTTCTTAAAGAGCAAGTCATCAATATTTTGATTTCCTACTCGTGGCATTAATTCATCGATTTCAAACTCAAATTGCTGGGCATTTCAGCACAACTTGAATACTGGTGCGGCACTAAGGTCACAGACGAGGGCACTCGTCGGGCCGACAAAATGGACTCCAACAATGGGACTCTAATAGCAGTCACATTTAGGGCCCATTGTTAACACGCTGTTCCGCTGGCGTCTAATTGTTCTCAACGAGCCAACAAATCAAGCTGAATAATCCTTGAGATATTACGAGTATTTGTCGCTCATTATGAGCCACATTTCAATTGCCATAGTTATTGTTGTTGTTGTTGTTGCTGTTGTTGCTGTTGCTGTGGCAATTTACATGCCATTGTCTGTGCAGTTGACCAATTGAATGTTGGCCCCAAGTCGTGATGGCCCAAATGCACAATCTAATCCAGTTCCCGATCGCCGTTTATCGCATACTGATCGATGTTTTACACGCAGTTTTCAAATAGTTGGCTGGATTTTATTGCCGTTCGATTGGAGTTTATTAATTTCGTGCAACGTGCAACGTGCAACGCTGAAGCATGCAACAGCTTCAAATAGATGCCATAACCCAGTTCTGTCCGAAATTGTGATGTGTATCTCTATCTAGCAGATACACGGCATGACCAGCATTGGCTAATTGTCGTTTGCCCAGGCACATAAATCATTCGAGACTCGTCGAGGATGTTGGCTGACTGCAACTGCAACTGCAACTGGCAACTGCCTTGAAAATGCAACAACCAAATCAAACAGTAAATCATTTTGACTTGCATCTGTTGCAAATAACCCGCCAGCTACACCAGCGGCAGCGGATAGTGTATCTGTATCTGTATCTTTAAAACAGCAACTGCTGCAAAGAATCGAGGGCCGTGTAATTGCCGCTTGGCTGAAAAGAGGTCAATTAGCAGCAGCAGCAGCAGCATCTACAGTACAACCCCCTACACTTCAGCTGCCCGCCCAGCAAGAGAGTTTCTTTTGCAGTTGTGCAATCCGCCAAACCGAAGAAAAAAACAAATAAACTGAAACATGCGCGAAAAATATGTATTCCAAAAATGTACGCGACTTCGACCCGAACGAGACAAAACTTGCACATTCCGTTAAACAAAAAAGTGTTTTAGATTTCATTTCATTTCCAGACGAGTTTTTCACATTGCGCAATCAATGCACTCATAATTAGCCACAAGCATGTCATATGCGGCGTATACGCAACGCAATACCGAAGCGCATACGCCCCGTTGGCGAGCTGTGGTTTTGACTGTCTTGATTGACGCACAGAAATCTGATACATGATAGACAATACTCAAATACCAATTGTCTTTCAATGCCAGACAAGATTTTGTACAAGCCGACAGCTAATTAGTTAAAGTTCTTTAATTCTTTTGGTTGACTGAGCAGTTTTTCAAAATGATTATTATGTCAGCACTCGAAGAATAGATGGGGCACCATAAATTATTAATCAACACATTCGCATAATGTGATGTAAACTTTTGGCCCAAGAACTTGTTGGGCAATTCGAATTAATATCCCACTACTTAATATGGCAACTTTAGTTATAGAAATGGCTTTCATTATAAGGCGATTGCAAAGCAGGTGCTTGAACTCAACAGAAAAAGAAAAGACGAATTTAAATATTAGTTAAAGATATGCGCTTAGCATCTTCTACATTCAAGTCAATGAACGGTTCATTAATCTTATAGACAACTTTTTGGAAATGTTTGTCGCACGCGCGTCTGGATTTGGCCGAAAATGTCACAAGGTAAAGAGCAACCAACTTTTAAGTAGATATAAGTAAGTGCTAAGGGGTGCTTTAAGACGAGTTTCATAACGGACTGTTTATTAGGTTATCAACATGCCGAATCCATAACAAAAAAATAACATCGAATGCAATGCGAACGTGAAAAAAAAGATAAGAATAAATTGAAGATAAAATATTATTGAAATGAGTAGGTTTTGTCTTTTTTTTTCTTTTGGGTACACTTGTGGAATATTTAATGCTAATGGGCTACGTTATAAAGATGCCATTGACATTAATAATAAAATCGGCTGGCTTTGGTTTTTATATAACAATCATAGCGTAAATTAGGCAGAGCCGGTTTTATTATTTTTATAATGGGCTTTATATATATATGGAGAAAGATTCGAAAGAAATTTTAAAAAATTTGTTGACAAATTTGTGCATTCATTTGGGCTATTAGCATTTTTTCTAAAACGTAGTACGCGCCACCTGATTGAAAGATAAGTTAAGAATTCAACAATGAAATTCCAGTCGACAGATAGTATAAACTTGAGCAAAATATACAATATATAATGATTAGTTAGTTTAGCAATTATTTCGCATATGCAAACACTCGGTAAATCTATTAAAACTTTATGCTCAGCCTCACTCTAAGGTCAATTTCATTAATATCTGCTTTCACGCCTCAACAGCTCGCGTCAAGGCATTCGAGAAAATCCAATGATGCTTAACGAGTAAGATCGCTCTAGCCGGGAGTAGCTTACTGGAAGATACCCTGTGATCAGGGCTGAGATGCCATCAGGATATCGATAATTATCGATAGATCTTAAAAAATCATTATATGCGCGTAAATAAGAGAAACTATACAGCATATCTCAAACTTATAGTCTCCCGATATCGATGCGTAGGCGGACAAACAGATGGATACGGCTCAATCGATACGAAAATCGACTTATCGAAATTAGAGCAAGCTATCGATTTTTCTGAAATAATAAGTCGGTAAGAACAATAGGCTAACTTACCAAACAAACTCTAGCTCTTAAAATCTTCTGGAGTCGGTGCATTTATACAGACGGGCATAGCTCGACTAGATTAACCGAAAATATAAATGTATATAATTGATGAGTTCCTTCTGCCTGTTACATACATTTGATTGAACCCAAAATACCCCTCTTTAAACAAGTTCATTGGGTACAGGGTAAAATAAAAACTATATAACAATCTCTCTAGCTCTCTAAGTGCTATCTTAAATATTGGCACATCTATTGAGGCAGCCTCATTAACGTGTATCGATGAAACGACCTTGGCATGGATTTAGGCACTAGATGCCACTTGGCTATCATTCATTGAATGGTGGGAAAGCATCAAGTACTTACCTCTCTTGTCGCGGCCATTTGTGGTTGCCGACAGCGCCGCCTCCTCCTGATGCTCGACGACTGCAACTGGAACATTTCCTCGACTTATGCTGCTGCTGTTGTTGTTGTTGTTGCTGGCCGCATGGAAAGTGCGCGGCATGGGGCGGGCAGAGGCTGCAAGCGGCACGGATAGAGGCACGTTTTGTGGCGCGTTGTTACCGGAATCGACACTGGCCAATGATAAGAGCACTGTGAAGAGCGTGAAGCGTTGCATTATCATCGCGCGCTTTGATTCAAATTGGGCACCAGTTTGTGTTAAGCTATAAGGCTTCGAGTTGAAGCTAAAGTTCGCGACGGCGACACAGACACGACTGACGCGGGAGAAAGCTAGCTGCAGGCTGCACAAGCTCTATGGGACAGACACCACTCTGATCGTGTGAATATCTATGAATGTTGATGCTGCCGATTTAGCCGATATGCTATGATTATGCTGAACTGGCGCTTTCTAAATTAGCAATGCATGGATGCGACACATGAAACTACAAGTTATGACTATATGAGTTCACAATGGGTCGATCGATGCGACGATCGATGCGACGATCTTGTTTTTGTTTTTATGCTTCAAATGGGTGTTTAGTCTCAGTGCTTATGTTTTCTCCTCCTAAAGCTCATGGCGTTGTGGAATAGAGAGCGCCAGGCCATTAATCTGTGCTTCCAACTTCAGCTGGGATTAGGTAATCGAGCGATCTTGTCTCGCAGCGTTTACTTTCTTTCCGTTGTTGTTGTTGTTGTTGTTGGAATAGTTGCGGCAGCGGGAGCACCCGCTTCAATTTACTCTCACTTTGGCGACTTGGGTGACTCTCGAGCTGACCGATCGCAAAAGTGGTTCGCATTTGGCGTTGAGCTCTCGAACTGTCCAGAGCCTCGATCGTTGCTCCGTTTACGTGATGTTGCGTTAGCTTTCGGCTTGCTTACTTACAGACTAAAGCGTTTGAACGCAACTAAAACACGTTGCGAACTCGAGATTCCTCTCTGGAGCCGATCGCTGCTTTCAGCTTCGCTTCGGTCAGCTGGTTCGCTTGGCGGCAGGTTTCTCTTCTCTCTGGGCCATTGGCTCCTCTCTCTCTCTCTCCCTCTCTCTATGGCAACTTGTTTATATTGACCAAGACGAAGCTGCATCTGCTGGCTAGCTCCACATTCCTACGTAGCTACTTTATTGGCGTGAAGAGACCTTTGCATCGCAGACATCTTCAGCTGGACCAGAAGCGGGTTTTTTCGCTGCAGGTGTGGATGGGGCGCGGTTCTTGAGCAGTTGCAGGTTTTACTGGCCAACTGATTAAGCCAGGTTGGACAGATCGAAATCAGCCTCAAGAATTGCCAACATGCGACGATCAGTTGCCCTTTGCCAGGGCCGGTCTAGTCAATAAAAAACTGGCTAATCCAACTGATGCACGCTAATTATAATGACATGCACATATAATCGTAAATATCGTAAATATAATGTCTTCTACGAAGCATAAACAGATTATATGGAATATTTGCCAGAGCTTTAAAATTATACAAATGCGAATTAATCACAGATTTGTGTTTATCCCAAAATTTTTTTTTTATTCATTAGACAATTGTATTCCTTCATTCCGGGTGCTGGCTAAATGACCTAAAACTATAAATAATTTCGAATCCAGATGTTGTGTAACAGTGTTTCTTAGGGTAAAGGTTGGCAATATTATATATAACTGGGCAGGCTTCCTGGACTTATATATGCTATATATATATATGTCTACCAGGATTTGACGATGGGTTGCTGCTTGTGCCTTCGATAATCACTATCTATCCACTATTTCTTCTTCTTGCCTTTGCCCTTGCCCTTGCCCTTGCCCTTCTTACCCTTCTTACCCTTCTTGCCCTTGCGCTTCTTGCCCTTGTTAGCGTCCAGCAACGCCTCGGTCACGTACGTCTCCGTTGTCACCTTGCTCATGGGCAATGTCATCGGCTGCTTTGGTGTCCGCAGCTCGATCTCAATGGTGTTCTTCTTGTGCTGAGACTTCGATTTGCTGCCCAGCTTGACGAGGAACACATCGCTGTCGGTCTCCTCGCACGTTTTATAACACACCTAAGACAAAGATTGGGAAGGGAAATTAATTACATTTACAATCGGAAAGCAGTTGCTCCTCAAATAGAGGAAAGAATCAGGTATTGCCACATATTAACAAACTCCAAAATGTTCGAAATTATAAGCTTAATTTTTCCTAATAGTTGGGATGCAATGGACTAAGGTAATATGGCCTTAAATGAAGCTCTAGTCCACTGCGAAAGGTTGGGCAAAATTACCTGATATTTTATGCAATTTGTTGCGTTTAATTTTTTTGGGATGTAGAGAGTGGTTTTTTGCTGGCAGATTTACAACCGTTGCGAATACGAATTGTGGTTGGCACCACATATTTGGAGCTCTTGCAACTGACTCGTGTAGTTATGCAACAGACATGCTGCAGCTCTAGCAATTGAAAGCATTTAGCCAGACTGGGGGCCACGTCACGGAACAATTGGACTATTCGAGAGACTCGAATTCCGCATTCCAACACGTGCTTCGAGCTGCCTCTGTGTGTGTGTGTGCTTGTGCTTGTGTGTGAATGTGGTGTTTCTCTGCACTTACCTCTATGCCCTTCTTACGGGTGTCCAATTCGACGCCCTTCATGGTGTCCTTGATGTCCTTGGCCTCCACCTGCATGCAGCAGCTGCGGCGGTTCTGCGTTGGCGGTATCGCCGGAATCACGGGTACTCCGCCGCCGCACAAACGCCGGCGATAGCATTCGACCTTGGCCTCCCGCTGATCGCACACCTGTGATCGATAACAATCGACCTTGGCTTCTTCCTTTTCGCAAGCCTCCTTGATCTTCGAGAAGGGCACGTAGTAGTTGTCCGTTTCGCAGGTATCATTGCCCGAGTACTTGATGTTCGCGCGAACCTTAGGTATGTTGGGATGATTGACAATCCGGCCGCAGGTGCGTCGCTGTATGTGCTTTCTAGCAAAGTCGCTGCGCTGCAGCATATCGTTGAGGCACTTGTTCGATGAGCAGTCCTCCAGGTTGGACCTATAAACGGGATCATCGTCGGGTCCAAGGTTCGCATCGGCGCCATCGTCAACGCTCTGGACTTTGTGCGTATTCTTCAAAACACGTATTGTCAGGCCGCTGCCATTGAGACAGGCCTCGAACTCGTCATAGGCCTCGGGACCCGGATCCGGACGCGTCGGCTGTATAAAGCATGGCTGTATCTCGGGACTGCAATCGCAATCGCATTGGCACTGACAGCACTCCTCGCAATCGGGTACAACTGAAGGGGGGAGAGATCACAATGGGGATTACTTTGTAGGATCGAAAATTGTATCAAGGAATACCAACCTCTTGGCATCATTGGTCTCAGCATTGCGTCATTGATATTGATTGGGCAACTGACCCCACCTTTCTTCTTGCCCTTCTTGCCCTTCTTACCCTTCTTTTTGGCCATTTTGGTTGGATATGTTTATGTGGTCGTGTGTACGCTCAAAATTAAATTTAGATATAGCTTAAATTAGTCAATTTGGATATTGCACTTGACCAGTAAATGGCGCAATTTCCCTCGTCTGCGCGCTAAAGTTAATCAAAACGAAAACTAGGAATTATTCTCAATTCCCTTTAGATTCAATTCCTAGATTATCAAAATCCAAATGAATTGACCAAGCCGAGCCCTTGTGAGGCTGCCTTATGGTTCAATCAATTGGGTTAGCCTTCGTTTACTCAAAAACGAGAGCCCTAAAATCGCAGTCTTGAACTGCAAAGAAATAAACACAAACGGCAAATTACGAGAGAATTTTTTTCTTTTTTGACGATAGAAAATTCCGAATCGATTGTTGAAAATAAAATGAAATTTTTACCCTGAATAATTTTGTGAATGACTGTTGAAGCGTTTTAACAATTTTGATTTACTTTTCAAAAAATACTTTCAACGATTGCTAAGGTTTTGACATCTTAAAAATGTATGAACTACCTACAAGAAAAAATTAAATAAATAAATATATGCGAATTAGAGAACAGGAAACTTGTGACTCAACGTATTTGGAAACGTAGTTGGTTGGCGTCTGCCTTCAATAGTAAAAACCTACACAAACTTGGAATCACTTGACAAAGCGGAAGAAGTGTGATTTGATAGATATTAAGAAAAGATTACAATTGAGGCGTAAGACGAAATGTCTGCCTCATCACAGAGGAAATACATTAGTATGAAAAATAAATATTTTCTTATTACATAAATTTTATTTTAACTGATAATTATGACAGTTTTTATATTTTTTGGTTTTCCCATTCTTCTCTCCAATATTGTTCTATTATTGAACTTCCTTCACACTGCATCGGTTCGTGCAGTAGGTAGAATTTCACGGCTACAAAACGGATGTCCATTATGTCTTCTTAGTTTTCTTGTTACTCTTCTTCTTCTTATGTTTCCTTTTTTTCTTATTTGTATTGCAAGCTAATCCGGGAGTCAAGTCGACACACCTACCGCAGGGCTTGTTCTGCTCGGTTGAACTCCTGATCTTACGACAGATAGTTTTCTGATTATTCGCCATCTGCTGTTGTCTCTTAACAAGTAGATTGTCATAGGAGGCGAATCTGGGAAATATGTCAACGTCGGCACAATCCCCGCACGGTCTGTAGTGCTCGACAATCTTCTTGCATCGATACTTACACGGCACAGTGGGGCAATCTGTGGTCACACAGGCTCAATTAGTTGCTTTGGTGGGTTTTGGGCCACAAGCTGAAACTTACCGCGATCGAACTCATCCTCACATATGTCATAGGGACACAATTTATCCTCATTGCAGGCAAAGTAACGATAGCCTTTGGTGGGTTGTTTGCCGTCGCGCTCTGCTGGTATTATATAACACGGATGCTGATCCGGTGGGCGCGGCATTGGGACCAATTTGTTGCCAACCTTTTTGAAGTGCGATACTATTGTGGGTCCATGGCAGAGCAGACGCATTATGAGCACCATGTTGCCGGTCTGCTGTTGGCAGATATTGAAGAGAGGCAGCATTTTCTTTGCCATGGTGTAGCTGGGGCAGAGCTGCTCCAAGCGTTGAAAGCCGGCATTGAAGCACTCGCACGTGTCCAGCAGGTCTCTGTTGCTGCCCTTCAACGAGGGCAAATTCATCATATTATCCTGCCGCTTACTCCTCCATTCCCAGTTCTGCGTATTAAACTCCTTGTCGACCTTATCAAAGAGCGGCTTTACTATGACCTCACTGAAGCCAATCAGAAACTTGCAGCGATCCGTACGTTTCTTATAGACATGCACCAACAGACGATCCTCGGGTGTGACTGGCGATTCCAATGCAAAAATACAGCACTTGCCGCACTGCGGCTGCTTGGGCTCGATGCAGCCCCCATACTCACGATCGCATATATTGACATAGACGCTGGACCGGAATGTTAGTTCCACACATGTGGAGTACTCCTCGGGCGCACAGTGATTCCTACGCGTTATCACTACATCATCGACCACAAAATCAAACATGTACAATAAATGCGGAATAAAGTCCATTTTAACATTTAATACTGTCTAACATTAAACACGTGACCGAAACAGATATTGGTTCTGAAAATTGGTAAACCTAAAATTTGAATTTTGAGGAATTGTTTTTGAATGGAGCTCTGGAATGCGACTGAAATGATTTGTCTACGGAACAGTAGATATCAGAGCTAAGCAAGCCCGATTACTTTTTTTTACTTTCCATAACTATTCTATTCAAAATTATAACTATTTGGTTTTTGGCATTATCTGAGCACGAGTCGAAGCACATTTATATCGATTCCCCCAATCTCTGTTAACTCTCAGCTTTAAACGTGTCCAACGGAAATTAAATTCTAGACAATTGAGAATAAAAGTCTTCATTTTTCTGTAGATTAAAACGAGTGTTTTCGAGCAGAAAATGGTGACAGTCTAAGAAAGTTCAAAATATGTGAGAAACACTGTGCGTAAAATGTGACTGAAATAATACAGTTTAGTTGGCCAAGGCGCTGCACAGCAGCATCTCGTTGGGGACTTTATTGAAATAGCAATCCTCCACGCTGCCCCCCATAGCTACATTATCGTCAATACCACAACTCCATCCCTCCATTCGGTTGGCTCTATGGCAGCGGGGGGTTGATCCACGAAATTCGTTGGCATCAGAGTCAGATTGCTTTGGTTGGTTAAAACACGAAGCTGCATTCGCATTGGCTTTGACAACACTCTTAACACTCGTCACAATCGTCGATCACTTCGGTCGAATATTGGGTATTAGGAATAATCCCGTCGAAGCTCACATTGACCTACCTCTAGGTTTTTTATTATTGTACGATTGACTTTTTGGCTCTGCATTTCCTTAGTTTGCCACTGTGTATTTGGTCTCAATTTGGTTGCGGGGACTTGAACCTAATCAATCTGAATATTGTACTTGGTCAGAAGGTGGCGCAATTGCCGTATGGCTCGATTGCGCGCTGGAACGAAACGAAATGAAACGAGAGATTATGGCGTTTACATGGGATTACTATCAAATCATTTATGTTTTGCACACTACCTTACTCACCTAGGTTGCAGCAGCTGGCGTATTCAGGGCAGCAGTGGTTGCAGGGATCTGCGAATCCACCGCCCGGCGTTGGCTTGGAACTATCGCAGAATAGCCCGCCCGTGAGCGCTGGTGATGCAATATCAATGTAGGGTCCGCAGCCGCCGCCAGACTGGCGGCCCTTGCTCTTCTTCTTTTCCTTCTCCTTTTCCTTGTCCTGTTTCTGCTTATCCTTGCGTGACATATCCGCCTCCTTTTGTTTTTGCACCTGCACGAAACGTGGATGGGCTGGAACGCCACCGCATGGACCACAAGGCTCCAGGCGCTGTTCAATGACCGACTTGCAACGTCGCTTGGACGGTACAGTGGGACACTCTGTGCATGTGGGATCCATTAGAGAGATGAGCATTTTGCGTATGCATGGACTTACCGCGATCGAACTCATCCTCGCAGTACTCGCAGGGACACATCTTGTCCAGATTGCAGGCAAAGTAGCGCAAGCACTTTTTGGGCTCCGGTGGTGGCTGATAGCAAGGATCTGGCTGCACGCACTTTGGCAATGGGCATGGTGGACATTTGCCTCGGCAACATCTCTTGCCAGTGTCCATGGGACCACCTGTGGCGCTTGCGGATCCACCGCCGCAGCAGGGATCACAGGGATCTTCGGGACAACGTTCGGGCTCGCAAGGCGCCTTAAATTTGCCACAGGACGGACACGGTGGACACGGCGGTTGGCAAGGGGACGGGCAAGGGGACGGACAGGGCGGTGGACATGGTGACGGGCAAGGCGGCGGCCCCACCGGATTGCGTGAACAGATTGAATGATTCAGCGAAAAGGCGGACACAATGGCCGGCCCATTGCAGAGCAGACGCATGATGAGCACAATATTGCCTGTCTGCTGCTTGCAGAGATTGAAGAGCGGTAGCAGCCGTTTGGTTAGTTCCGAGGTTGGGCACAATTGTTCGCGACGCTCATTTCCGGGATCATAGCAGGCACAATTATCCAGCACATCTTTGTTGGGACCCTTCATTTTGGGTATATTCTGTAGCTGTTCGTACCATATCTTTTCCCAGTTAACATTTTCCGCATCAAAGGATTCCCTGACGCGATCGAAAATTGGCTTCATTGGCAGCTCGGTGAGTCCAATTAGGAACTTGCAGCGATTGGTTCGCTTCTTATACACATGTATCAGGAGCCGATCCTTGTCCGTGATTGGTGATTCCAGCGCGAAAATACAGCACTTGCCGCATTTCGGCTGCTTGGGATTCACGCAGGTTCCATACTCGCGATCGCAGATATTTAGAAAAACGCTGGAGCGGAACGTGATCTCCACACAGGTCGGATACTCCTCGGGCGCACACAAATTCTGCCGTGTTATGAGCAGATCATCAACCACAAACTCTAGCATATAAATTAAGCTCCTGGGCGAGGTCATTGCGAATTGTTTTTAATTGCAATCTGCGGGTGCAGAGAATAGATTCCAAAATTTTGTTACTAAAAAATTTAATGTTGTAATTTGGGCCGAGGTAAAAACTGAACTGGTATAGACATTTCGTTATTCTATAACATGGCTTACAAAACACATGCCTGCTGAGAGATCTAACTTGAAATATCTCATTGATACTTCACATTTTAAATTTGATTTTATTTTGTTATGTATCTAAGGAATCTAAAAACTCATTTTGCGCCCAAACATTTTTGACTCTTAACTAAGGCTGTTCAGTACTCAGCTATCTTTAAGTTAGTTTTAGCGTAAAGTTTAGTTTATGCTCAAAAATACATACATCATCATACATACAGCCCGTTTCAATACAAACATTTTCACAAAATATGAGTCTTGTTTGAATCTCAGGCTCCGATTTCCATATCCAAGCCAAAAGAAATTAAATTAAATTTTTTTTTTTTTTTTGGGGTTTTTTCTATTTTATCATAAAATTATTTATTCAATTCCCGAAATTGTTCTACAAAATTGATTGAGCTACTCGTAAATGTACTTTTAAGTGGCGCTGCTACGGTCACTGCCTCTGGTTGTGCATTGCAAGCCGCACGAAGCTTATGCTTAAGAACAACTCCATCTATTAATTAGCTAGGATGGTAGAAGGAAGAAGACAAAGGGCGTGTTTGACACAATATACATAATTAAAGAGCATTTGTATACAGGAATTTTGTTTCGTATATTTTGCATGCAGTGTCTTTAAATGTTGGTAGCAAAGCAAGAAGACTTGGCAGGCTATCCACCACGGGATAATCAACTAAACGACACTAACGTCAGGCGGAATGAAAGGACGGGAGAGGAAAAAGCTGTGGCCACTGCACGAACTCGATGCCGTAGTGGAGAATGCCAGTGGCGCTGACCGCAATCATGGCACCCCAGAAGAGCATGAACAGCAGGTTCTCCGTATTGAATTCGGCCGGATATGTCATAGTGATAATGAACATGGCAACAGCGACTAGCAGCACCGATGGGAAGGCGATGTAGCGCCAGCCACGTGCCTTTGACAGTGGCGATGGCAGAATGCTGCCCTCGTTTTCATTGATCAGATAGTTGCCCAGGAACAGGTCGATGCCATCCTGACGTTTACCATCTGCGAAATTGTTTAAATAGTAGCGCATTAGCGAATTCTTGCCATCATTCACAGCACCCACTTTGGTGCGTTTGCCGGTGCGGGTAAAGTCCGTTTTGAGGGCACCTGTACCGGAATACTGTAGCGAAACAAGATCAGCATTGTCCGCCCAAACGCCTTTAAACAGCGCCTCGAAGCTTGTGGAAGCGTGCTCGACCCGTTGACCCACATGTAGCACACCCAGCTTTTGGAGAACGTCGCTGAGCGAACGGCGGGCAAGCATGCTCTGCACTACGTTCGTTCTGTCCAGGCAGTCAATGCAGTTTGTACGGAACACACCCGTTTGCGTGGACACTACGTTGCCATTATCGAAGGCATGATAGAAACCGAAGTTTTCCTGTTCATGGGCGAGCCGATCGATTAGAATGTTCAGTCGGTCCCACCGCATTTTCCGGCACTCGTGATGGAAGTCAAAGGCCTCATAGCGCACTCCAGGGTTGCCCATCTCGCGAACCAGTCTCGCAAACGTTGCCTCCAGCTCGCCCTCAGCGCCTTTTTGATCAACTAAATTGATAGCGACCTGCTTGCCATAAATGTTCAGCTGTGCATTGAAATGCGCTGTGCATACCGCCAAATGATCCTTGCCGGGGATCAGACGCGGCTTTGGCTTATAGCGCAAATTGGGCAGCTGCTGCCAGAAAAAGGGCATGCTGCCACGCGTCTGCACGAAACTGGTGTGCTGTCCATTGAACTCGACAATCTGTTCCGTTTCCACAAAGTTCGCCACTTGGCCCAAATCGTTGCTGCCACGGCAGAAGAGCCGCGTGCCCGCACGCTCCACAGATCTGCGCGTCACAATGCTCCAGAAGAAGGTTTGTCCGTTAATTTGCACCTGGTTCACCGACACAAAACCGTGCACCAGCGGCAGTTGAAAGCGTTGCATTTTATCGCACTTGAACTGCTGCAGCACATAGGAGTTCCACACAAAACGCTTATCCGCACGATCCACCAGACCCTTCCCCGTCTTCTTGCCCAGATTCTCCTGCTGCCGCTGTAGCGTTTGCGTGAGATCGTAACGATAGGAGAAGTAGAAGAACTTGGTATCCAACGTCTGGCGCAACATGCTCAGGTAAGACTGATTCTCAGAGCGTTGAATTGCATTGGGAATGTACGGTATAATATCGTAGCCAGCCAAACGCCACACGATCGCATTGTTGAGGACGCCCACGAAGAGGCGATGGGTGGCCACTATCAGATAGTCACAGCTTAGCAGATGTATTGTGCCCAGAATGCCACAGATTCGTCTCGTCGGCATCAGATTGACCAGCTGTGTGGTCTTGGCCTGCACACGGGTCACCTTGTCGAGTCGGCCAATAATCAATAGCTCATCCTGGCCATTCGGTTCGACAATGAAGCACTCCTGCGTTATATACAGATTCATGTCATCGTACACATCGTTTTCACCCTCCATTCTGCACGTGCACCTAGAACATACACAAGTTGATAAATATGTTGTTGTTGTTGGCCTTAAGTAGCAATAGGTCGGGTTCTTACTGCGTTTTGTCAATGGTTCTTCCCAGCGATGACGGCGCACACACGCAACACACACGCACGCAAACTTAAGCACCGGCGATGGCAGCGGCAATAGCAGAACAACAACAACTGTAATAACTGCGGCCTATATCTTGACACCGCTGACGCTCACCTTGTGTTGCAGTGTGATTGTCCAGGCGGCAGACGGTTTTTGTTAATTTTGATTAAATTTAACAGCTGCAAACATAGCAATTTTAAAAAAAACTAAAAAAAACCCTATTTAACGAGGTGACGAAGGCACAAGCACTCACACATACACTTGCTCACGAAAACTATCGATGCATTATCGATAATTGTAGCTAGCGCCATCTGTCATTTTTTTTCGGAGGCGCAATTGAGCGCGTACGTGCGCTTACACAATTGGACCATAACAGCTATATTAAAATTTATCAAAACACATAAATACACTTGAAAATCAAGACGACATATTTTTCAGGCAACTAATTTTTACAACTATTTACAGCAAAAGCGATATTATTCACATATTGATACGAAATCAACGCTAACAGTGTGTGCACAAGTCTAACATACGAAAAATGTCTTGCACAGTGTGTGCACATCTGAGGAGTTAAATAACATTTTCTCGCATCATTCAAAATTGAACGGACGACGCGAATAAAGCGGCAGCTTATAATATTTTTCATATCGCATTTGAAGCTGAATCTATATATATTTAAATATTAAGTGATTAAACTAACATCGCCAGCGCGTGATCAGAGCAGCCTGTTAAGGTCATACACTTCATTTTCGCACATAAATACGTAAACTACAGTTATTTGCAAAGGCATAAAAGGGCTTGGCGTCATTTCTAGACATGGATTTAACATCGGGTGCGAATGGCTCGCGCCAGCAGCAAGCGCGAAAATCAAATCAAAACATACAGGTCTATGTGCGCGTCAGGTGAGCTCCGTATATTCACATCCAGCTGCTGAAATTGTGATCATGGTTTTGACTTTGCAGACCGCTTAACTCGCGGGAACGTTGCATACGGTCCGCGGAGGTGGTGGATGTGATGCCGCCACGCGAAATTGTCACACGGCACACGCTCGACTCCAAGCTGACCAAGAAGTTTACGTTCGATCGCACCTTTGGGCCGGAATCGCGTCAATGCGATGTATATAGCACCGTCGTGGCGCCGCTTATCGAGGAGGTGCTCGCGGGCTACAACTGCACTGTGTTTGCCTATGGCCAAACGGGCACGGGCAAAACACACACAATGGTGGGCAACGAGTGCGCAGAATTGAAGTCCTCCTGGGAAGATGTAAGTGAACCCCAATTTAAATCTAAAACTGAGTCTGCGACTGCGCAGTACAGTTGTGTTTCGCTAGAGAACTTTTTTGACCTGCGAAAACAAGTTTTGCCACTTTGTGACTGACCTCGCAGCTGTTGTGACTTCTCAGAATTTCAAACCTTTTTCTAATTAACACACGCCCCTTTTGTAGGACTCGGAAATTGGAATTATACCGCGTGCGCTCAGTCATTTGTTCGATGAACTGCGCATGATGGAGCTCGAGTACACGATGCGCATCTCCTATTTGGAGTTGTACAACGAGGAGCTGTGCGATTTGCTTTCAACTGATGACAACACCAAGATTCGTATATTTGATGACAGCACAAAGAAGGGTTCGGTTATTATTCAGGGTCTCGAGGAGATACCAGTGCATAGCAAGGACGATGTGTACAAGCTGTTGGAGAAGGGCAAGGAGCGACGCAAAACGGCCACCACACTCATGAATGCCCAATCCTCGCGCTCCCATACCGTTTTCTCAATTGTGGTGCACATACGTGAGAATGGCATGGAAGGCGAGGAGATGCTCAAAATTGGCAAACTGAATCTGGTGGATTTGGCGGGCAGCGAGAACGTCTCCAAGGCGGGCAATGAGAAGGGCATTCGAGTGCGCGAAACTGTCAATATTAACCAGAGCCTGTTGACATTGGGTCGTGTGATCACAGCGTTGGTCGATCGGGCGCCTCATGTGCCCTATCGCGAGTCTAAACTGACTCGGCTGCTGCAGGAGTCGTTGGGTGGGCGCACCAAGACTTCGATTATAGCCACCATCTCGCCGGGCCACAAGGACATTGAGGAAACACTCAGCACACTGGAGTATGCGCACCGCGCCAAGAACATCCAGAATAAGCCAGAGGTCAATCAAAAGCTGACCAAGAAGACGGTACTCAAGGAGTACACGGAGGAGATCGATAAACTGAAGCGGGATCTGATGGCGGCACGCGACAAGAATGGCATCTATCTGGCCGAGGATACTTACAATGAAATGACGCTCAAAATGGATTCGCAGACGCGTGAGCTAAACGAAAAAATGTTGCTACTTAAAGCGCTCAAAGATGAGCTGCAAAACAAGGAGAAGATCTTTAATGAGGTCAGCATGAATCTCGTAAAGAAGACCCAGAAGCTTACACGCACCGAACAGCATCTAACCGAAACCAAGGGATCGCTATTGCTCACCAAGAAAGTGCTCACCAAAACCAAAAGGCGCTACAAGGAAAAAAAACAGCTGGTTGAGTCACATGTTAAAACCGAACAGGAGCTGACTACACAAGCGCATCAAATTCTGGAGGCAGCCGACTTGGCTGCAGATGACACGCACCAATTGCACGGCACCATTGAGCGACGACGTCATGTGGACGAAAAAATTCGCAGCACGTGCGCTCAGTTCACGGAGCGCATGCGTGACAATCTGGAGATGCTCGATGGCAGTCTCAGCCAATACCAGGAACAACACGCAGGCTCCACGCAGCAGTTGACCGACGAGCTAGGTAAGTGATACATTTTTTTATACAGCACATTCAATTTATGTTGCTCCTATTCCTGCTTAGCGAATTGTACCAATGTGCATCAGCGTCTGGTGGCCAATGCCACAAAGAGTATCGACAACTTGCGTATCAGTTGCACTGAAGCTTTAACGGCACATGGGCAGCTGCAGGCACAGTTTGCGGCAGCTGTTGTCGGCACTGGAGACGCCCATTGCAAGGCGCTAGTGGCACAACTATTGGAGCATATGCAGCAACGCAATGCGATGTTAAGTGAGGATATGCTAAGCAATCTGCAGGAGCTGGAGGCCAACAATGAACGTCACAAGGCAGCGCTGGATAGCATGCGCGATGGCTTCTCGCCAATTATTGAGCGCAACGCAAAGGCGCTGCAGCAGCACGTGGATCAGGTGCAGCAGCAATTGCAGCAGCTAACTGCGTTGAGTGCTCCCGATGCCGAGCAACTGCAACAACTGCAGACCGAACTGGCCTACGAGGAGGAGTTGGCACAGCAAGAAGCGGCCCTAATGCATCAACTGGAGCAGCTACAGCAGCAGCGCGCCAAAAACACAGTCAGCATGGGTACTCGCGTCGGGCAGCTGAAGCGCAGCCATGTTGCGATTAATGAGCAGGCACAGCAGACCGCCAACAGCATGCAGGCCTACGCCATGGAGGGCTCTGTGGCGACGCAGGCGGCACGCGATGAACTGTGCAGCCAACTGCAGGCTGCAGTGCTGTGTGTGGATCAGGGCGTTGCTAAGTGTTCCACGCTGCAGGTGCAGCTGGAGAATCTGTGCAAAGAGAGCGCTAAGCAGGCCGAGCAAAGCATGCAAACAGTGCGAAACCATGAGCAGCAACTGCGCCAGATGTGCTCGGCCAGCGAGGAGCACGCTGAGCAACTGCGTCACGAGCAGCAGAAAAACCTTGTGTCGGCCACCGATCAGATCCATCAGATTATCAAAGATGATGTTCAATTGGGCATCGGCCATGCTGCCATCACAGCCGATCTCATTGAAAAGCTTTCCGAGCAGACAAAGCAGCACGCGATATTGCAGCGGCAGCACCAACAGACTTGCCACCAGGATCTCTCGAATTTCCATCAGAGTGAATTGAAAACGTATGCGCCCACTGGTACAACTCCATCCAAGCGGGACTTTATCTATCCACGCACACTAGCAGCCACATCGCCGCATCAGGATATTGTGCGTCGCTATCGGCAGGAGCAGGACTGGTCGGACTTGGACACCACGGCCACCATTGATGAGGTAAGTCATCAGCTTTATGTATATACCATTTTCACATCTAAGCATTCCTTGATTTTGCAGTGTAGCGAGGGTGAACCAGAGGAATTGTTGCAGTCAGTGCAGGAACTGTCCGAAACGGAGACCATTATGAACTCCACGCCCATTGAGCCCGTTGAGGCCGTAAATATTAAGCAGCGCGGCTCTAGAGGTGGCAGTAACACTCTGAAGCAGCCGCTTGCCGGCATGCGCAGCGGCTCTCTGTCCCGCTCCCTGACACCTCACAAGTATTCGCCTCGCAATTCGCCTCGCAACTCACCGCTCAGCTCGCCTGCCTTTAATAGGGTAAGCTAAAAATGCAATCTGTTAAATAGCAAAGCAATCATAATTTGTCTTACCTTATTCCCCGCACAGCATAACAAAGAGAACTTGGCCTGAGACGAGCATCCAGCATCCCAGTAACACAAGTCGCTAATTGGAGCACCTCTTTTAAATTTGCCTGTTCCTTTTAATTTGTAACTTTATTTTTGCTTTTTGTATCATCTTTTGAGATTCTTTTTTAATACAATATGCACATAAGGGCACCTGTACCACAGTGAACGTTCGATATAGTGAAATAAATGAAATTGAGATAAATGTATACCGATTTTATGGCACTTCTTCCCATATTATTGAAATCTTACTGTGTCCAGGAGACTCAGTCGTCCTGTTGCTCATCGTCATCATCCTTGAGTATGCCCAGGCGTCGTGCCACCTCCTTAACATTGGCTATAAACTCCTCCTGCACCAAATTGAAGCTCATGGCCAGCAGCGCGATGCCAAAGAGCAGATACAGAGAACAGTAGGCAATAGACTGCTCCGATTCATCCTTGACGCCTTTGGCGGGCACAAAATCACCAAAGCCTGCAGCAAAAGAAAACCAAGTTAGAGCTGAAGATGGATATGTGCAGATTAACCACGGGCACTCACCAATTGTGGTCAGTGTGATGAAGCAGAAGTAGGCCGAGTCTAGGAAAGACCATTGCTCCCAGTAGGCAAAGAGCGCGGCACCACCCAGTATATAGCTGACCACCAGAAAGACGCACAGCCAAATGGGCACCGGCCGGTCTTTGGGCACCAGATCGAACCTGTCGCCATACTCGTCGCCGTACATGGAATCGTCGTCATCGTAATCATAGCTGGGACGTCGCCGAATCTGACGCTGTACGGGAAAGCCCATGGGCGACATGATGCGTGGAGAGGGTGGCAGGCGGCGTTCGCGACGTCGCTCGCGGCGCGGCTCTCGGTTACGCGAACCATGACGCACTGGATAATCCTCGTACAAATCGTTATCGTCGCACATGGACAACTCATCGAAACTCTCCTCCACGTAGTCCTCGTGGCGCGGCGAGCGTCCGCGTCGATGTCGCTGCGGCGGCCCTGCATCGTAGTCCGGCGGCTCTAGATGATTGCCGTAGCGCGAGGATTGACGGCCCAGACTGCCAGCACGCCGCCCATTGGATCGTTGCTGCTGATGATGATGATGCGAAGGCGGCGGCCGTGGCTGCGGTGAACGCTCTCGTTCTAGTTCCCTCTGACGTTGGCGTTGACGATGCGCCGATCTGGGCATCGATTGGCTGCGTGGTGCATTGCGGGCATGTTGCCCGCTGTTTACCAAGTCGTCATCGTCGTCCAGCGCATAGCGATTGGGTATAATGGGCGTCTTGCGCACCACATCCTCATCCACATCTTCGTAGTGCGAAGAGATATGTCCATGCCGCGGATCCACACTTTTTGCACGACCCGAGCCACGACCCGGCGTTGAGTGCAGACGATGCAGTTCACGAGAGGCGCGCGATTCCTGGCGTTGGGGTGAGCGCACAGATCGCACACTGGCCGCACGCTTCGCCGGTGGGGGCAGGTCGCTGAAGTCATCAATGGAACCATGTATGTGCGTCCTGGAGTGACCCAGATAGCGCTCACGCTCCACAGTGTGTCGGTCCCGCATTCTGTCCCGCTGTCGCTGACGGCTGCTGTAGCGGTTGGCGCGATTCAAGGTCTGCGTCTCGTACTCATCGCCGTAAATGGTATGACGCTGGCGAGGCTCATGCTGCAGTGGCTGGTGGTACATCTGCGGGCGACGTGAACGGTTCCCACTGCCGCGATATCCGCCGCCGCCAAAGTCACGATCCCGGTCATCGTAGCCGCGACCGAGCGTGCGCAGCTCCGGATCCGAGTAGGCATGCCCCATGGAGGGTCCCAGCCCAGAGTCATTGTTGGAGCGCTGTGTCATCTTCATGGAGCGCCTAAACGAAGGCGGCGGCTGAGATCGCGATGTAACACGCTGCGGTCGCATCCGCATAGATCTCTGCCTCGACCGCGCATTTCTGGGCCGCTTCGCCGAACGGGTGCACACATAACAGCAGATGCGCCAGTAGAGGAACCTGCCTGACAGATTAACAATGGGCACGCAACGCCAACAACTTGTCCAACTCACCGAAACGATGTGGCCATCACATCTCCAATGTTGGACAGACAAAGCAGCATCAATGGAATCCCAACGATGGCATAAAAGATCGTTGTCACCTTGCCCCAGTCTGTGCGCGGTGATATGTGGCCATAGCCTGTCCAGCGTTTGGCATCGCAGTTATGGTAAATGAGGTTGCATATGAATAAATAAGAGGAAGAGAATTATTAACATAATTATATTTTGACAGAGCAAATGGGTTCGGTGAAGTTTGAGCATATTTTTTCAAGATTGGTAAGGGCATAGAAATATGTATAATGAAATCTTATTATAAATTGTGTCCATGGCAATTTAGCCAAGCTTTTCAATATATCAGAAGTTATCAAAACTGAACATATATTCACGGTAGCTGACATTTTGATCTCTATTTGATCTCTAGGCTAATTTTATCGATTGTATACTGCTTTTTCTTTTCTCCCAAAATTAAAGTCGTCAAAGACTAAACTATTACTCAAGGGTTTACATAGAACGCACACTAGTGTTATTTGTTGTTGTTTTTTTTTGCCAAGATAAATAATATTTGACTGTCTTTAGTTGGTCGGAAAACTGCCTTGAACCGGGCATAATATGTGCCAGCTCGCAAATTGGCAATATCTTGGAAATGCCAATGGGCGCAACGTGCCTAATCTGTCTGCTTTAGAAGCTAATCTATTATCGTCTCCCACGCAATGTACAAGTACAAAATGGGCGTTTCATGTTTTGCCGCTTGCGGAAATGCGGAAGTGTTTGTATTCGCATGGATTCCATGGCTGAGGGTAATGGGTGTGTGTACCTGTGTGTGTGTGTGTGTGTGTTGGGTATTGGCAAAGACCAAACAAGCGCCGGTCATTAAACTCGCAGAAACCAGGCAGCTTAAGCCAAGACAATTCATTTAATGCTACATCCATATTGGGAAATTATACAAAAGGTTCCCATCATAAATCTAAAATCTAAAACTAAAAACTCATCTGTGGCCAGACGCGTTTGACCTTGCGTCTGCTGTTGTATGTATAAAAAGTCATTCTAACTTTTGATTTCGTTGGATGCTTCCTGCCCCCCGGCCCCCTTCGGATCATTGGCTAGATTAAACCTGAAACTGAAAACATTTTAGAGGTCATTCACGTGGGCGCTTAGTGGGCCAATCAACCTGTGTGCAACAAACTGTAGCCAAAATAAAACTAAGCCAAATGCTGACCTATGTGCTGCACGATCTGAATGATAAGGAAAATTTATAGCAATTGCTGCAGCATAAGCCGGTAGGACTACGGTAGTCGGGTATAACAGACCCCTACATACTCATTATAAGGCTTGAAATAGGCTGTCTGCTGCATTAGCTTACATTATTTTTAGATATTTTTGGATCGGTCTTCAAAAGAGCTGATCATCAGTCTATCATGAAGTTTAGTTTATAATCTATAAAAGATATATGTATACCCATCCGATACGTTCTCACTTTTCATCTATATGCACATCTATATATACACGAGTGTCAAGTCTTTTATGTGATACAGACCGAAACGAATATACCCCTTTGTCTTTGTGGGCGAGTGTAAAGATATATCTGCAATTGATCAGTAAATGAACACTAATTATGCATCAACACAAAAAGTGGGCTGTAAAATGTGTAAACTCATTTTGATTTCCAGGAAAGTGTTTTGTAATCTCGGTACCTCGGTACCCTTCATGGAGTCTAACGATCAATTACAAAACGATCGTGAGGCAGTTCAATATTTATGCGATTTCTACGTGCTCACATGGGCACATGTCCAAGTCGATTGCAGCAGTTCCTGGGCCGCGTTGCATGAATTGATCTGATCACTGAGCACAGAACAGATCACTGATCATGCGCTTCTTTGCGGTTTGGCGGTTTCTTCGGATTGGATGAATCAATGCTAAATACGTGGGCTGCGTGCCCGGCGATCAAACTGGTCGCCCGATCGCTGTTAAATCTGGCGTGTCTTTTTTTGGGAGTGCGTCTGCGTCTGCGACTGCCACGATCCTCTGTCTGTGTATCTGTCTGTCTGGCTTGTTTGCGTTGATTCATTAGATGTTTACGCTGCGGCACAGTGGGGCAGAACACATGCTGATCGCTGGCCAATAACAAACACAGCCAAGGCTGAGCTTAAATCGAACCGGCTCATGGTTCGGTTCAATAGAAATTACTTTTCACGAGTAGCCAGCTACCTGGCATAAATAATTTGGGTTTCAGCCCTTGGATTTAGGCATATATGACACTTGCCAATTTCGGATAGAGATCAAATCTAGCGCGCTTCTTGTATATGAAAATATACATGGCTTGTAATATTTTCAGTAGAACGGACGCGCAATTACAAATTAAAAATTTAATTTTTTCATTGAAATGTTTAACATAAATATGAAATTAATATAAGAGATAAAGGAACTGAGCCTTAAGACAGGGCGCTGGTTCAAACCCTAAAAAAAATATAAGAAATCAAAGTAAGAGCCTTGTTAAAAGGAATTAAGCCTAAAGGAAATGCGCTGGTTCAAACCGTGAGCCAAATCAGCGACAAATTTAATTTTATCTTGCAATGCGACCTTTTGTGCTGGTTCCACTGTGGGGCATGTGCCGCACCTGCCGTCCTCGGCGAGCCACACTCGAGTGATTTTTGTGCCTCGTCGTTGGCCCATTGTTATATAAGTAGCGTGTGCCGCTCGCATTGCCGAATTATTCCGTTGGCATCGCTATAAACGAGCGAGTCGCGACCAAGCGCGAAATACGGGTCAGTGTGTGAACCATCCACAAGCAGAAAGAAAGGCCAGAGTTTCCAGTGTGAATCAGTGAATCTTCGTTAAGTGCAGAAATCATGCGAAAACATTGCCTCATCGCGTCGCTGGCGCTTGTCTGCCATCTGACCATTGTGACGGCCAGATCGGGCGAGGATCATTGGGTTTGGCGCACCTACAACCGCAAGGAGCGTGCATTCAAAGAAAACGAACGCAACGCAAACCAGAATCAGCAGAGACGTGAGCCAACTACCAGAAGACCGCTGCCTGGTGAGCCGGAGAACGATGAGATCGAAGACTATGTGGACGTTGAGCCCACAACAACCACTGCACCCAATGTGGGCACGCGTCAGTTCAACCCCTATCCTAATCTAAATCCCTATGGCGGATTTGGGGGACAGCCCGCGAATGGTGGCCAATTTCCGGGCATTGGCGGCGGCTTTGGTGGCGGCAATCCAGGCGTGCTGGTCGGCCCTGGTGGCCCTACGGGATACAGACCGCCGCTATATCCCAATGCCTATCAGCCTGGCAACATTGGATTTGGTGGTGCGCAGAATGGACTGGGACTAGGTGGCTATCCAGGCATCTATGGCAGTGCGTCTGCGGGTGCGGGTTACCCGGGCCTGGGTGCCGGTGCAGGTTATCCAGGTGTGGGCGTGGGTGGCGGTGCAAATGCCGGCACAGCCTATCCGGGCGGACAGCTCGGCGGAGGACTAGGCTTGGGTCAGTATCCAGGCGCTGGCAACCAATATCCATTTGGAAGCTATCCAGGGACAGAGACAAATTACAACCAGTTTGGAGCGCCTGGCGGACAATATCCTGGCCTGGCACAGTATCCGGGCAATCAGTATGCCGGACCACAGTACACAGATGGCTATGGCTTAGCTGCTGGCTTTGGCCTAGGCCAGCCCGGCCTGGCACCCACGGGCTATGGCGGCAACTTCGGAGTTGGGGGCTTTGGCTACGACGAGAAGTCGCTGACGCCGGCCGAGGGCAAGAGTGCCAAGAGCTCAGCCAGTTCCCCAGCGACGGTAAATGATAAGCTCAGTAAGAATATTTAGCTGTAGCTCCAGCTCGAGCACCCGTTAGCTTTAGTCGTTAGAGTTTAGTCGTTAGGCTTAGATTATGTTAAATGCGAATAAAATTCTTTCGAACTGTTAACCTATTTGAGCACTCACCAATTGTGGTTATGACTATGATGGAGTAGAAGAGTGAGCCGGCAAAGGTCCATTGGGATTTGCGCTCATCCTCGTCGCCATCCCAGCCGTCTGCCTTGATGGCCGTCATGATCTGCTTCTCAAAGTTGGCCAAATGCTTGCTCACGTTCGCCATCCAGTCGTTCTCGCGCAGCACCAGCGCGTCATCGGAGAGCAGCCAAATGCGCTCGGTGAGATTGAAGCGCAGATTTTGTATGTCCCGCTTGACCTGGACGCACACACATGGAGTGTCTGTTAGCCAAGTTGGGTGCTTAAGAAACCCGGTGCGATCTCACCTCAATCTCATGCGGTCGTTCGAGATGCTGAAACAAATAGGCACCGCCCACACAGTACGAGACCACAAGCAGCACGAGCAGTACATGGGAAACGACGCAGGTGAGCACCTTCCACGAGAAACAGATGGCAGCCACACAGCGTCCGCGTTCCGGCTTTGCCGGCTCCATCATGTGCGGCGGCAGGGATTGTGCCCGCCTGCCCGACATGGTCGTGCACCTTTTCGGCTATGCGTCTTCCCTTGGCCAATTTCGTGGTTCGCTGCACACAAATTATGAAAAGGCAAACTAAATTTGTTGAACCCGAATTGAAATAGTCGACGGTTAAATACCCTGTGAAATATTTACTATGATTTGACTAAGATCTACAGCTTATATGCCCCTTCTAAAACTGATAGAGGGTATGCATATTAAAGCTGGCTTGAACCTAGCCGGCTCAAACCCGAAATTTAACATTTTTTGCCATAAACTAAATTTGTAACCGGAATAGTTTGGTAACGAATATATTTGAAAATATATTACAGAAACATCAATTATTATTGATTGAATCTAAGCAATGTATCAATAAAAGCAATATATAAAAAAAAAGTTGGGTTCATATAAGCACAAAGGACAACCAATTACAAGCTAAATAGGCAGGTGGCGAAATGGAAGTGGGAAATCCCAATCCTCACACATGTACATTAAGATTTGTCTAAATATTTATTTAGTCGACTCGCCAGGCTGGCAAGGTCGGGTAAGTGGTTAGGGGGGGCTATGCGGCTGTGCTTTATGGAAACTATTTTGGGGAACAACATCCATTTCGTCAACAGACAGACAGACAGACAGGCAGAACAGAGCAGACGGCGCAGACCCCGCAACTCGTAGTTGTTCACCGCAAGAAATTTTTACTTTTCATAGTCTAAATACTAGCCGGAATGGCACAACAAATAACCGAACAGACAGATGGACTATATATATATATATTTTATGAGAAGATGCTATATAACATGCCCGAATAATTAGTAGCTTTGATTTCATTTGATTTCTTATTGGGCAATTATCGGCGAGCAATTTATAAACTTTTTGGCTCTACATGGCATAATTTACATTTATGTACGCAAATCTTTCGAGCCGTACCGCACTTTTAGGATTTGTTCTTCTTGTTTTTTAAATATATTTCCAAATTCAATTCATTTCTGTGTGCACGTTGCGTGTTTATTTTCCGATACGGATCGCAACGGCAACAGCACATGGACCGATCCCGACGACTCTCCAAAGATTACTGAACATTTCTCTGATCGGAGATCGGCGATCGGTGAGTGTTTTATTTTTGTTACTACTTGGGCTAGTTCTAGTAGCTTGTAGTTTTCTTCTGTTCTGAACATTTTGGAATACTTTTTGTTTACTTTTTGCATCTCAGTTGGCATTTCACTTGTTCTCCCGAGAACACGTAACAAGAGACTCGGGCAGCAGCTGATTTGTCAGGCACAACCAGAACAACAACGACAAACAATGCATTTCTCTCTTCCGATTTTAGAGTAATATGCAATATCTTTTTTGAAATTCTCTTGTAAATATATTTTTAAATGGACAAGATTGTAAAAAAAGTGCACTGCCATTTTTGTTCACACCACAAATGTTCATTATCAAAGCTTGGTTGTAAAACTCAAGTTATGAAATATCAATACTTAAGATATAGATAAGGCATACGCTATATATAGACTAACAAATTTGGAACGCCCCATTGACCGGGCCCTAATCGACATTCAGCTGTCGGAACGAACCCTCCAGCCCGAATAGACCCTCAAAGTCAATTGGTCTGCCCGGTCGGAGGCGCTCATCTGTGCCATAGTTCTGCTCCTCTACCCAGTAATTCCTGTAGGCGTTTATGCGCTCTTCCCAATCCTTGATCAGTTCTGGTATGGAACCATTTTCGCCTCCGTACTCCACAGGCAAATACTTTTGCGGTATTTGCTGGTACATGGCCTCAAAATTGTTGCCGTGCACATAAAGCTGTAGGAAAATGATAAAGACGTTGAGTTCCTCAAGGATTGGCTACAAGCTGATAGGGAACCTACTCGTTGCTGTTGTTTTTTGGACATCATCGGCTTGAACATGTTGAAGACCTTATCGAAACCCGCGGGCGTGTTGATGAAATGCGTGCCCTTTGTGCGCATGGGCAGTGCCTCCTCCTGGAAAACGGTCATCTTCTTGGCAAAGGAAGGCGTCATCTGAAAGAAGTGCCCAGCCTTTACGTCGCTCAGGTCCAGTATGTGTATGACCCCATTGACTATAGCATCATCGTCTTCATCGAGCATTATTTGATGCATTAGACTGCTGGCCCGATTGATTTCAATGAAATTGTACTCATCGGGATTGTAGGCGGCCATGCGCAATACAACTAGCCGTGGCCCATTATCATGCAGTGGGCGTGGCAGCACGATAGCAGTCCTACAACTGAACCTGATTCAACGTTCAAAATGGGCATAGAATGCGACTCACCCGAATCGGAAGAGAGCAAGCAGCTTGTCCACATCAACATTGTGTCCAATAAAGTATTCGGGATACTTGGTGCGCAGCGCGTAAAACCGATCCATTTTGGACTTGGTCTTCTCCAGGCTGTGCTTGCAGCCACGCAAGAAGTTGACCAGAAACTGGTCATCGGTGCGCGCTTTCAGATGTGGCTGCTGGGCAATCCACTGACGCAGTGCGGCTATGTCCGCATCCAGGCGCTCCGGAATCTCGTTCAGCTGCTCGATAGCATTTTGCTGCAGGGCCGGACTTAGCGGACGAATGGACGGCATGTTGGCCAGGTCGGGCAGCCAGTACACAACTGAAGGTCTTTGTTCGGGCTCGATTCATGGGCAGCCACCATAATCAATCCAAGATAAGATAGTTAACAAAGACCACACAGCACAACCTATTCTGAGAAGAGAGCGGGAGTGAAGCACAAATCCAATCAATTTATTGGCTGTTTATATTTTTACAAAGTCAGTCGATATCCAACATGCGGAATGAGCCATCCAGGCCAAAGTAGCTCTGAGAGCTTGTATTGGCTGGGTTATCTTCCCTCAGCTTTTCGTTGGTGCCAAAGTGACGCGACTGCTCGAAGTATTCGCGATAGCTGCACATTTTGGCCTCCATTTGGTCTATGATGTCTTGCATGGTGCCCCGGCTGCCGCCGTATTCCTTGGGCAGATACTCGCGACGCACACGCTCAAAGATGGCCTCCGGATCGGAGCTGACAGATACCTACGTAGAAACACTATGAAACGCTGCTGATCGCTGGGTAAGCGACAGATGTGACTCACGCGATTCTTGACCTTATCGGGAAAGAAGGAGCGCAGCGACTTGAAGCCACTTTCGAATGAGGCGGGCACATTTATAAAATGTATTCCCTTCTGCCGTGTGGGCATCGCCTCATCCGCAAAGGCCGAAAACTTGCTCAACAGCTGCGGCTGCAGGGCAAACAAATTGGCGGCAGTTACTCCGGTCATGTCCATTATTTCAATGTAGCCACTGACATTTGCGTTGTCGTCCTCTAGCATCATGATCTCGCCAAACATGGAGCCCACTCGAATAATATCCTGGAACTTGAACTTCTGCGTGTCATAGGAACCCGTGCGTATAATGGTCACAGCCGGACCCGTATCGCCCGCGTCCAAAGGAATGCGTAGAATGACGCTTCAAAGAAAATACTTTATTTGGGAATGATATGGAGGCTTCTCTATTGATCATACCCCATACGAATGATCTCCAGCACCTGGGCATCATCGGCCAAGCGATGCTCATTGAAGACCTCGGGAATTGCAGCCTGCAGCGTGTAGTAGCGATCAATCTTGTGCTTGGCCTTCTCCAAACTGAACTTGCTGCCCCGCAGGAAGCCCAGCAGGAATTGATCAGTGAGGCAGGAGCAGAGATGCGGCTGCTTCTGCAGCCACTCTCGTAGGGCCGCAATATCTGATGCAACACGAGCCGGCACTTCGTTCAGCTCCTCGATGGCGATCTGTTGAAGACCTGGAGGCAACGGGCGTACTCCAGCGGATAATTGGCTGTTGTCCATGGTGATTATATGCATACTGGCCAATCGATGGACTATAAATTTTCCATAGTGCAATTTAAGCAGGTAAACTCTATTGTTTCAATGCGATAAGAAACATATTCAATCATTCGGGCTAATCTGTCAAGCGATTAGTTCTCGCTTAGGATCGATTTGTTGTTGAGACATTTATGGGTCTATATTATATGTGGGTGTGTCTACAATAGATATTTAAATATTTCTTTTTTAAATAGCAATGAATCTTGTTGAATTTTTCAAAACAGTTAAGAGGGTCTTTTTCCTAGTTACAGTTAAAAAAGTGTATACAGCTAAATTTAAGTTTGGCCATTTGTAACAACATATGGGTTAACAATGCTTAGCTTTTTGAATGTCGATTAACAGGAGCAATAAAATGCGTCAATTTCTGTTAGAGGTGAACGTGTTGCTTGAAATAAATATATGTTACATAGAAATATCTATACAAACTGCTTGTGACTTAAACTAGCACTCTACGTACTGGAGGATACATTTTTTAAAATTTAAATCTATAAAACAATACATATATAATGCGTTAGCAGTATATGTTTCACACATGTGACTCGTTACAGTACATGGCACAGCCCACACATACATAACTATCGCTCATCTCTAGCGGGTAGCAACAACACTGTAAGTTAACAGCACCCCATAGTAAGTTAACAGCGCCTTTCAGCAGACGCACTATTAATACAAATAGAATAAATAAAATATCAAAATTAAAAAGCGCTAATTTGTTCAAACAGCTAGCGCGCGTTTTTAAATACATTTAACATATCTAAATTAAGTTAAACACAACTGTCTTCGTGATACCACTTGCGACTTAAACGCGTTTTCAAATCTGCAATTTCGATACGTAAATTGCACTGCAATTCCATACGGCTGCGGCTTGGTTAAAACAAAAAAAAAAAAAACATAAAAACAATGTAAGTTGTGCAAAGAAAAACCTCAAATAGAAAGCGAGAGAAAGGGCCAAATGATGGCGGGCGCAGTTAAATAAAGGCCAACCCAAAGGGTGCTGCAAATGCCACATGCAGCAGCAGCCCAGTGGGTGGCATTCGCACTGTGGGCGGTTGGGTCATGCGACCCCCTTCAAGGGCACCAAAGCCGCTGCAAGGTGTCGTAAGTGGCGCGAGTTGTGTGATTGTCATTCCACAATTCAGCGAAATTAAAGGCTTAAATGCGTTGTTTTGTTACTGTGATTCATCATAGTCAATCATCTTATTGACGTAATGTGCATACTCAAATTAAGCTAAACTCTTCTTTTTTGTATGATTGTATGTGTGTGTGCTTAATTTCAGTTAACGTGTTTCCCATCCGAGTAAAGGTCAAGATGCAAAACAATCCCAGTCCACAGCTGCCATGCAAGGGCATTTTAAAGACTTCGCGCAGCTTTGACAAGTCGGGTGCCAGGTAAGCGCAATCAACTTTGACCTTTAGATTAAACAAAGGCTAACCACTAGATTCGTTTTCGCAGTTTTCGCAAAAGTGCCAAGTTCGATGAGCTGAACGTGATGCAAACATTTCATCCAGCCGATAAGGATTACGGGCATATGAAAATCGATGAACCAAAAACACCTTTTAACTACACGGAGCCATTTAATGAGAACAGAGACGAGCTGGACACCGAACTGCTGGTTGAGAAGTATAAATCACGTTTGCCCTAGACCTAGCGCCAGCAAGCTAAGTCCATGCTTTCTTATTTCCCATGTAGATTACGGATTGCGGCCAGCACACAACAGTCTTCCCAAAGCATTGACGATGAAGGTTCTTCCGGCGATGATCAACCTATTAGCGAAGAGGAGCGACGTAAGCTCACAATCATCCAACATCATCCTAAATATTCGATTTTAATTGTGTCCTATGTTGCAGAACGACGCCGTGAATTCGAGCGGCGTCGCAAGGCGCATTATCGTGAATTTGAGGCGGTCAAATTGGCCCGCAAGCTAATACAGGAAGAGGACGACGATGAAGACGATGGTAATGACGCAGCTGTTGCTTCGGGGTCAGCACCAGGCGTTGCCTCTAGTTCCAGCACTTATGCCAGCGGCTCGAAACAAAAGTCAAGTCCGAAAACAACAACATCCGCGACCACCAGTGCGACCAGCAACAGCAGCATCATGGACCTGGAGCCGACTCACAATTAAAAGCAATATGCAACACAATATTTACAGGGTTCTAACTGACGTTGTTCGTTGATGTTGATGTTAATGTTGTCCGCGTAGGGCGGCTCATCCGAAACTTAATTTATTGCTACTAAGTGCTGTCGTGATGAATTAAATTTATATATACATTTACCTAGCGTAAAACAGGTAAAAGTACGTATATTTCAAATAGCAGCCGGCGCAAAATGTGCTTTCCATCAATGAAGTATGATACAAATCTATTGAAATTGTAGCTGCGAGATATTTTACAACCAAGTGCACATTATAAACTAAAATACGAGTAAATATAAAAATTTGTAGCGTTATGTCAATGTTAATGCTTATTTGATCTGATCTTCTCCAATTGAATAACGAAACTGAACTCTCAGCCCAACCTTCAAACAAAACGCATTCATTTGCATTTAATTTTCAATAAGTGGAAATTTAATTTCTAAACTCACACAAACACACACAAAAGTGCCACAACAAACAGTAAATTTAATCAAGAAGTAAGCCTAACGAGAGAAATTCCAGAAAGGAAAAGCGCATTGGAAACACGCTGTATTTGAAGTTGTGTATGAAATTGATTTGGCCTTACTTTTAGTTATTTATTAAAACCAATATGTACTTTAACGATATAACTATCATAATAACAATTACGATTATCATTGTGAATATAATAGTTTTTAGCAATGCAATACAAAAGTTTCAATAAAGAGCAATGTGAAAAACTTTGTATAAACCACAAGGCACACCTATCATCCATTAAGAGAACAAGAAAACACAAACGCCGCACTTCTCTCGTCGCGAGTATTCAAAAACTAGCCATTTATTTGATTTTAGTGTTCATAGCTCTCATTGTTATACAACAAATTGTAAACATAACGTCAATTTCATTCTTTTGACATTTGTTGGTCATATTTTGGTTTTTTCTTTTTTGTTTGTTTTGGGTAAGTCAGAGTGTTGGGTTTCATCCAGGCGGCACCTCAGGGCGCGCACAAAGCTCAGATCTCCCCGCTCGTGCAGCAGGCAAAGGCATCCTCATATTATTGCCTGCCGGCAAGGAGCGAGCTGCTATGCGGCCCTGTACGTGTCGCCCAGAGACAATTACATATTTGATTTGATTGTGATTTTGACATTTGATAAACTCACTGAATTGCCATATCATATCATGCTTGGCACATAACTTACTCAACGGACCATTGACATTTTTTTATAATATGCTCGTTAACAATATAATCGTAAATAAACATAAATATCTGTGTAGATATAGAACAAAATATAGACAAAAAATCATGCAAACTCAAACTATTTTAACAATTGCGACGCACTGCGAGGCAGCGCCTAAAAATCCAACCCTGAGCAGGCCCAGACTCTAGAACATATATGTGGGCTCTATCGATTCAATTTACAGTAAACTAACCCAAATATATTGTCTTAAGCATGGGCGCAATGGGCGTGTTTCTAGGCGTGGCTGCCCGCGCGGTCTATAAAGTAAAACATTGCGATAAGTATATATATATAATAGATTGCTAGATATGTTAGTTCGTTTTTTTTTTTGTTTTGTTTTTGGGTTTTTTAAAAGTATTTGCATAACAAGGTTTCATATTCCATATCATATCCATTTCATTTGCTAGGTCTCGTTGTTGCTAGTAGTATCATATTAATTGTCAACTTAAACATAATTGGCAAACATAAAGGCATACTTCATAAGTATTTGTATCTATGTTATGCATATGCTCCAATATGCTATGCAGCATACAAAAATAAAATCCTATTCTCTTTCACATACAGCGCCCCATATATCATACGAAATATGAGCTCTGAAGTGTTTATAGAAGTATAGAAGGCGTACTTCGTACCCTGATAATCGTTTCGTTTGGCATAATTATATAAATAATGATAGATAGATACGTATATAAAGTTGCTTTGTTAGTAACGTTTAAAATTAGTATAACAATATACATATATAGTTTTTATAGTATATAGTTTGATTCGTTAGTCGTCGTTTTAGTAACATATACATAGTCGTTTTTTATTATTATTATTATATGAAGTGGGTTCCATTGATCAAATTTTCCATTGCTTTTTGAGCTGTTGATGCTCCTTCTTTATCTAGCCACAATTTGAGCTGTTGCTTAAATTCCAAACATGTGCTGGGTGCCTGGTGGCACCTTGTAGCTGGGATAGCCGTTGTTCAGTTGGTGCTTGGCAAAGAAGGAAGTGTAGTCCTGTCAATGAAAGACAATATAACCAGAGATTAAAAAGAGTCTCTAGCTCAGGCAGCTTTGCTTCGAATTATGGTTCGAGCCAGCGACCATTTTTTTAACTTTTTAAATTCAACTGAATGAAAATGTAGCACAGAAATTTTCATTGAGGCGCCCTACATACACGATTGACTCTTCGGGGACGGCAAACGGGGCCCAACGCCAACAGGCGACGTTCCTCGTTTTCGCGTGCAGCAGCCTCCTTGTACTCCGGTGGTGGCCATTTCAAATCTCCGCGCAATTTGCTGCCTCCTGCAAAGAGATGCAATCAGATGGCAATTGTAAAGCCGCGCCAGCTGTTGCTTCTGTAGCTGCGCTCACCCTGATAGCTGACGGCGGCTGGCTGCGAAGTGTAAACTGGCGCTGGCTTCTGTGAGACGGGCGCCTCCTTGCGCAGCGTTATGATGCCAGGACTGGCGCCACGATAGCCGTGCTGCAGATCAGTCTGATCCTGCGAGTAGGGCAGCTGTTGTTGCTGCTGCAGTGGCTGTTGCTGCTGTTGTTGCAGGGGCTGTTGCTGCTGCTGAGGCTGCGAATAAGAATTGTATTGTGGTTGAGCATAGTTAGTGCCACCATTTTGCTGTGGATAATTTTGTGGTTGTTGTTGTTGTTGTGGCTGTTGGTAAGCCGACGTCTGGTATGGAGCCTGATATTGCTGCTGTGCCTGTGGCAGCGGCTGCTGCTGCTGCGGCTGCTGTTGCTGCTGTTGCCAGTGCGGCGGAGCTGTCGGCTGCTGCTGCTGCTGTTGTTGTTGGGGGTATTGCTGCTGATAGTTGTCGTAGGCCGGCGCACCATATTGTTGCTGTGGTTGCTGCTGTTGGTTGTCGTTGTGGTTGTGTTGATGGTGCAAGACATGCGAGTCATGGAATTTCAGTTTCAGGTGCCAATAGAGACAGGTTATGGATGTGTTGGTGGTTGGTGGGTGCGAGTGCAACAGTTAAACAGATACAGTAACAGATACGCATACAGATACGAACAGATATGTGGGAGTAAAGAGATAAGAGAGACAATTATACAGTGACAGGAATATAGAGAACAGAATCGGAAAATTAAGCTAGTGGCTAGGCGTGGAAGGGGTTTTTCTTTGCTGTCAGTAATTCAATTAATTCAGCATTAGCAGCAGTTCGCAGTTTACAGCTGAAATTTGCATAGAATAAGCAGAGCAGAGAAGAGAGAGAGAGATAGAGAGAGAAAGCGTGAGTGAGAGAATGTGAGAACTTTGGTTAATATCAACTAAATGTGACAGCTACAATGTATGCATAGTTGGATACAGGTGGAAGGGTTTATATACAGCCTTGGGAAATGGCCTAGTTTTGCGCTAGGGTTGCGGTTTACACGTACCGCACTCTACCTGAACTGACAATCAAAAATCAAATTAAAGAATTTCAAAAAACAAAAAAAAAAACAAACATATAAATAGGTGCTCCTCTAAAAATAAACATAAACATATAATAAATTCGCTTTTCTCTTCGCGTAATAATAATATAAACAATTCGTCAGTTCGTGTATCTGCGGCGCGTATAAACGTGTTTTAAAACTACTTATTAGTCGGGTTAGTGCCTAGAAGGGAATTCTCAACTTTGTGTAGATAGACAGCAGCAGCAAAAGTTTCTTGCAACGAGGGCCAATGCCAAAGCCAGGCTATAAATCCATTCAGCCAAACGCTACCTGCTGTAGATAATGTTGTTGTTGATATTGTTGCTGCTGCAGTTGGTGCTGCTGTTGCTGATAGGGCGCATAGGCAGTTGTGGGTGCAACACCGCCAGCATTGAAGTCGCTGTGTGTCTTGGGCGCCGGAGCGCCTATATGCTTCCAACCGGCACCCGCATTGTCTACGGCGTGAATGGGCGGCTGCTGTTGCTGTTGGTAAGTCGGCTGGTATTGCTGTTGCTGCTGCGGCGGCAACTGTTGCTGTTGCTGCTGTTGTTGCTGTGGGTAGGAGGCGGCAGGCGCCTGCACAGGCTCCCTCGAGGGTTGTCTATCGAACTGAGCCTGTGTGTATTGGACGGGTTGTTGTGGATAGTTATAGTTATTAGCTGGGGCTTGGGCTACAGGTGCTGCAGCAACTGTTGCTGGTGCGTAACCGTTTGACGCATAGTTAGTGGTTGGGCCATATACATTTTGGGCGGATTGTTGGTATTGTTGTGGCTGTTGTGGTTGTTGTGGTTGTTGGTGCTGTTCAGGCTGGGTTCGTGGCTGAACGTTGTTATAAATGGGTCCCTGCAAGTTGGCAGTGAGTATTCCTTGTTAGTGGGTGGGTGGGTGAATGTATGTGTGTGTGTACATGTGTGCATTTGTGTGCTTAGGGTGTATGCATTGTATTTACAAATGTGCCTCACCAGATACCCAATGACAGTTGCAGATTGAGTAACAATTATATTTACAATTTACACAGTATGTACAAAAGTCAAGTTGATAAACTAATTAAGTATATGCGTTTATATATATACAATCAAGGGTCTGATTAGGGCTGGTTGCTTGGCTGGCACAATTACCTGAGCTGGAGCAGCACTGGGCACTGGCTGACCGGCAGACTGTGGATAGTATCCGCCGCTGCCCGGCGCCGGGCTCTGTGTCGGCGGCTGTGGTGTAAACTCACGCACGATGCGCTCCTCAGAGGCTGGTGGCCAGGCGACACGTTTGTAACCTGCAACAAAAAAAGGGGGTGGGGTGGAGATTGCGGCCAGAGAATGCATTAAAAACTGTGCTTTGTAAAATATGCATGCATAATAAGTATATGTATGTGTGCGGGTGTGTGTGTGTGTTGTCGCCAACACGCGCGCAGATGTGGGCGTCGTTGGCCTTGGGGCGAATATTAAAGATACTCAGATGCAAGACAAACAATTTGAAAATGATTTAAGTCAATTAAAAGTGTACAATTCAGCAAATGAAACAAATTTTAGACAACTGAAGAGTGCGAGACTTTTCGAATTTCGAATTGCAAATCATACGCTGTTGTCATTGTGTCTAAATTTAGCTGACGATTCAAAAACAGAAGAATTTGCAACAGCAGCAACAGCAACAACAACAACAACAGCAACAGCAACAACAATGCTGATGATGACAGCATTGACAGCTACGTGCAACATGTTGCCGCTGTTGTTGACGTCTGTTGCTGTTGCTGCTGCAGCGGCAGCAACAATTGCCAACGCCCGCCGTCAGTCAAGTTAAATGAAAAATCTTATCAATATTGAACAAAATTTACCCTCCATATTCTTGTAGTTTTGGTTTATCAGTCTCCACTGTGCGCCCATTGTGTGTGCTTTTCCTTTCTTGAAACTTTTCTTATGAATTTTTCTGCAGATACTGGCTACTTATTTATGATCGAGCGCCGCGCGTAAAAATAAATTTTGATATTTTCTTAGCTTTTCTTATTTTTTATGATTTTGTTTTTGGGTATAAAATAACAGCGTGTCTCTGTGTGAGTCTTTGTGTGTGTGTGTGTGTGGCGCTGAGTGTGCGTGAGTTTTCACACAATAATTATGATAATTTTCTTATATACACAAATACACACACAGACAGCAACAATAGGAGCGTTACGTAATGCGAATTAAATTAATTGATCGTTTAAATATTGAAGGTTGTCAAAGAAGGAATTGTTTAGTTAGGACCACACCACAAATAATTCGTTGGTTAAAAAATATTATATGCAAATTAATTGGCAGCAACAATTTTTGCTGGCGCGCGTTTCGTTAAATTTTTGTTTTTTGTTTTCGTCGAATCTCGATATTGATCGTTGATAAATTTAAAAATCAATTTCAATTAAATTTCTATTTCTATTTCTATTGCTAATTCGTTCGCGTTGGCCGCGCGATATCTTTGTGCCTTCGATGTATGCTACTAAGTGTGGAGGTGCCCGCGAGCTGCTCAGGAAATTATTCAACAGATCCGAAAGCTAATCCATAATGGTATGGGTGTTTGCACACAGATAGAGCGCGAGAGAGTAAGTGTGTGGGAGAGAGAGAGAGAGGGGGTGGGGGGCAGGGCAAGTGTGTTTTTCGCCAAAGAAAATTACTGAAAATCGAGGCGCGCTAAATACGTGCAAATTAAATTGCTGTTAATGATGCTTCGGCCTGAAGGCAACCGCTGCCCGCTACCGCGCCCACTCCCCCCGCCCACGGGCTGCTCCTGAAGTGCTGCGTCTGCATTGTTTACACCTTCGATTTTTGATTTGTGCCGCACCTTGAAATGCTGCACGGCCCAAGGCACAAGGGTATACACACACAGACACAGACACTAGGTATATATTCGCAGATAAATATTTTGCATATTTTTTTGCTTGTTCTGTTTAATTATATAAATCGGTTTGCAATACGCGCAGCCATATGCCATATTATAGATGATAGGATTGTAAATCATATCGGATCACATCGGACCTGGGCCTGGGCCAGCCATAAGTACTTGACATTATGGCTAATGCTTCGTTTGGCAAATCAAGTGGGCGGGCAACTGTGTTCAACTTGTCGCCAAATCCATTGCGTTTAGTCTGTTTGTCTGTTTGTCTGTGACTCAAGTGTCTGAGGCTATATAGCTCACTGGGTCTATAGCTATTCCCGATTCTAGGGGTTGGGCCGATGACTAGTTTGTGGCTAAAATTAAACGACTGTCGTTTTGGGCTAACAATAAGCTAAAATAAATCTGTTTTTAAACGTATTCTCACAGGTGTACGACAATTGTTGGCTCATTAAAATTATTAGCAATCTTGTAGAAATTTATATATACATATAAATCTATAGACGATCTACAGTGTAAGACATTAAATAAGTATAAACAAATAGATGTCTATACGCTTGTTAAACATGCTTATGCACATGAAATATGTTTTTGACGTCTGCCAGAAATCAGAGATAAATCTAAATCTGAGCAACAAGAAGGTTTGGGTTAGATGTAAGTCGATAAATATTGTTGCATGAGTGCCAGATCAATATAGTTCTTTGCTTGAATTCCCATTAAAACCGACCTGATGGTCTGTCTAACTTATAAAGATCATTTAATTTATATAATTTCAATACCCATTGACGCGCTTGTGCTCTTCGGTGAGGTTTCTATGACCTAGTCTGTTTCTTGAAAGCACCTGGCGAAATATTTGAAATTTGTCATTTTACTTGAACATTTCTTTCTATCTTCGTTCTGCTGTCAATTTTGAGCTGTCCTATAAATAACAATGAATAATTAGTTATCTACGATAGAACTGGGTGCAAGCTAAGGAATTTTAAACATCGAAAACATTTACTTTGTAGTGCCTGCGATGATTTTTAAAAAAGGCAAGCGATGGACCTAAATATATCAAGTATTTTCTTTTGAACTCATAAGTCCCAGCATATGGGAATGCTATGCCACGTGAGATTCGAGATTCAGTTCCTAGAAACCTTCTCTCGCATCTTTCAAAATAACATATTTTGTTGACTTAGCTTTGATTCTTGAAAATTTAAATATGATAGAGCAATACATACAGAAGTTATTAAAGAATGAAAACTTCAAAGTATGGGCCTCATAGAAGAATAAGTACAGCCGCGTGTGCTGAGTAGAAATATGCACATATATCTATAAGAAGTTACGAATATTGGAAGGTATCCCCACACTCTTTAAATAGGTTCGCCCAGATTGCGTTTACCAGAGAAGATCCCCTCCTAGAACCAAGTTGCATTAGACACTGTTCACTTAGACACATTTACGGGCGGGTTGGGACACAAATCGGAGGAGCATCATGCCACAAGCATAATGACGGCACAAGGATTTGCAACGCACCTTCAATGCCTATATAGGGGCGTGGTGACACATTATCGAAGGATCGATTGAGGCTGAACTCGCGCAGGCGCTCCTCGCTGCCTGCCAGCGACTTGAAGCCCTGTTCCTGTGCGCCCAGACCATGTTGCAGAAGGAACTCAAAGGGCGGCGGCTGTGAGTTGCAGCGGGGCGTGGTCGGTGGTGTGGCCGCCAGCAAAGAGGATGAGGCGGACATGGACAGCTGCAGCGGCTCGGTGGCGGTGCTCACCAGCAGCCCAATATTGTGGCCCTCCAGCTGTGAGACATGCGTGTATTTCGCCTCCATGGGCGTGGGCGTGGGCGTGGTCGAGCCTTTCGGCTGCACTGCATTCAGGCCAAAGGGCGAGCTGCAACGCTGCGCGGTGTCAATCAGCGGCGCCGGATACCTGCGATACGGCAGTGGACTGGGCGATCTGCTGACCCGCCACTCCTTGGATTCGGTGGGGGCAGCTGTTGCTGCTGGCGTGGTCACAATCTCGACCACGCTGCGCTGACGCTGCAGCTGCTCCTTGGGCTCACGCTCCTGCTGCTGCTGCTGCTGTTGCTGCTGTGTGTCCTCCCAGGAGATTTGGCGCGACACGTAGGGACTGCGTATTTCGTAGGTGGATTTGTAATTGGCCAGCGGCTCATTCTGCAGATTATCGAAGCGCCACTGATCGGCCTTGGTAAGCTTGCCCCAGCCGTGTGGCGAGGAGCGACACTCGCCACAAATGGTACACCAGCCGCCGCCCAAGATGTCCTCAGTTGCTGTCGGCTCGTGCTGGCAGCCTGAAGTGGCCGTCTGCTCGGCTTCCGCCTCTGACTGCTGCTCCTTTACCTTCTCCTCCGGCTGTACAGTTGCCTGCTGCTGCTGCTTCTTTATCGTGTCCTTTCCCTCCCCTTGCTCTTCCTTCTGTTTTATTGATTTCTGTGCAATTGATTCCTGCTGCTCCTGGTGTTTAGCAGTGTCCAGTTGATTTATGAGGCGTTGTTTGTCTTGTTTGTCTGGGCCCAGCGACAGCTCCTGGCGCTGCGCTGTGGCTGCTGCCTTGCCCGTCGACAGCTGCTCATAGTTGGCAATTACATCCGACACATGTCTGTAGTCCAAGCTTACGTCATCCTCCTCTGCGGCTGCTGTCGTGTCCTGCTCCTGCTGCTGCTGCTCTTCTTCCTCCGCGATGACTACGTGCTGCGCCTTGGCCGCTGTTGGCGTCGTCTTGTGCTCTACGTGCAGCAGCGCGTGCTCCTCGCTGTCCAGTGCAATGGCAATCTTGTGCAGATCCTCCAGTGCGCGCTCCACAATTGGCACGTTCTCTGCGGGCATGACGGGCTGCAGGTGCATCTCCGGCATGACCTGCTCCTTGGGCAGCAGCTGTATGCCAGCTGCGCGGCAGTAAATTTGTCGCAGTATCGCCTGCAGTGGACTTTCCACGGCCAGAATGGGCGATTGCCGCGAAGCAAAAATATCCCAGAGCTCATTGTTGTTGTGGTTGCCGCTGCTCAGTGGCTTTGCTGGTGGTGCCACTGCTGGTGGTGGCTCAGTGGCCGTGGCCGTGGCCGTGGGCTGCACTGTGCGCTGCAAGGCATTCTTGGCGTTCTGCATGTACGCATCAATCTGAAGCAGATGCTCCGTGATGGACTGCTGGATGTGTGCGTACTTCGCCTCGAGCTGGGCAATCTCCACATGCGCCTCATGCTGCTTGGCCAGGGCTGGCAGCGTCTCTGGATTGCTGTCATAGATGCCACCTTGACGACGCGCCTGCATATCCTTTGCCTCCTGCCGCGTCTTGGCGCGCAGCTGCAGCAGCGGCGGCGGCGGCGGTGGGGGCAGCGGAGGCGGCGTCGGCACACAGCTCTGATGGCTGCCCTGTGGCTTCAATCTGGGCGCACTGTCCTGGCGCTGCAGCTTGATGCCTTTGGTGGCACTCACATATGTGGCCGGGAGCGAGGCATCCTCTGTGTTGGTGGGCGGCGTCATGTTCGGCTGCTGCTGCTGATGTTTTTGCTGATCCTGGCGCAGATAGCTGCAGGCGTCGTCGTAGATTTGCTGCACACTGCCCAGCAGCTGTCCAGGATGGGCTGACCGCGACGTCTCAGCGCTGACTGTGACTGGGATAATGCGACCGCCGCTCGACTGGGCATCGAATGCCGCCGTGGCCAGGGCCAGCGCCATCTGCTGCTGCTGCTTAAGTGCCAGGCTGTCAATTACCGTCGCGGCTTTTCTTGGCAAGCTCTTGGTCATCAGCTTGGCCGTGTCAGCAGCTGCTGCGGCTGCTGTAGCTGCAGCTGTGGCTGCCCTTTCGCTGGGCGTCGCTGGCAGCGGCAACGTTTCCAAATCGATGTCAACAGCGGCAACAGCGCTGTTGGCCTTGGGCTCCTCCTCGCTGTCGCCATCGTTGGCGGTGTCCGTGTCGTAGCTGATTTTCAGCTCGGTGGCCAGCTTGATGCTGCGACGCTGCACTTTCGGTGTTCCATTCCCACTGCCACTCCCATTCCGTGGCTTGAGTGGTGGCAGCTCCGTGCCACCGCCCAGGGCCACGGCCCGTTTGCGGGCTCGTCCGCGATCTAGGGAATACGATTGACGCTTCAGTCGTGGGCGGTAATTGCTGCTTGCTTTCAGTGTGGGCGTGGTCGGGCGTTTGTGCGTCAACTGTTCGTAGTATTCGCACTTGGGCGCCACCAGGCCAATGTCTGAGTCCGCGGCTTTGGTCTCGGGCGCCGAGAAACCCTTGGCCTGGGGCGTCTGCCGGCAGCTGCTGCTCAGTGGCTCATCCGACGGCTTGGGGGTGGGCGGCGGGGTGATGCGTTGCCTTTGTTGCTTTGGGCTGGCGCTCCTCTCCAGCTGGAGACGCTGCTGGCGCACCTCTCGCGGCGACGGCTCCACAATGCGCGTGGGACTGTTGAATTTCTCGCGCAGCACATCGATGCTGTGCGTCGGAGAGGGCGTGACGTTCTGGGCTGTAGATGTGCCCGCCGCCTCCTGCTCCACGGGCGGCCAGCTGTGATCGCGCCTGAGCAGATGCCTGCGCGTGGTGGACATGCGATTGATGCGGAGCACCGTGTCCCGATCGATGACAACATCATGCTGATGGCTTAGATACTGTGTCTTGATCTGATCCAGCAGCTGCTGATGCAGCGCATGATGCGGCGGCTCCACCGGGGAATTGGGGCCCTCCGCATCGCGCTGTCGCGTGCGACTTTGCCTCGGACGAGCATAAAAGTCGCCTGCGATGGGTTCGCGGGTTTGGGTTTTGATTCAAATTCAAATAAATAAAATTTTCACAACAACAAACATTTCACGGGCACGAGCACTTTGTTTGTTTGTTTGTTGAATGTTGCACAAGGTTTCTCTATGTTGTTGTTCGTGTTTGGACAAACAGCACACACATATACACACACATATATACATATATATATATACATATATAAGCAGACAAATGGCACCTACCGCATTTGATTTGTTGCTCCTCCTCCTCGACAGCGCGCAGAACGGCCGAGTTGGCCAAGTTCAGGGGTTTTGTGATTTGATCGTCGATTTCAATCCTGAAAAGTTAATTAGAATAAAATTAATAAATAATTTCATTCAATAAAAGTCAATTAAAATGTTAAATTTTTAAGTCAAAGTCTAATTTTGTTATGCTTAAAATTAAATTAGAACAAAGCTTTTCTTAATTTAACCCAAATATCAAGTCAAAGTACACAAAATACCAGCAAGATTATATTTATATTGCACACAGTTTACCTGATAAGATTTCAAGACCCCTAGATCGAGGTGACGCTTGAAGAGATAAGCAAATGTGAAACCAAACCCGTTAAAAAAATATATAAAAAGCATTCCCCGAGTTTGCTATTTTCAAATTGCATAATTTAATAATAATATTTTTGTTTGTACTGCAAAATTAATCAAGAGGAAACGAGCTTCTCAGAAAAGTGCTAATTGCCGAATTTCAGGGCATAAATTACAATGAGCTTTTACTGTATGTTTTTTTTGCAGTTAAAATTCTTAAACTTAAACATAAACAGCCTCCAGCTGGCACTTAGCGCCGATACTTGGGTGCTATAAGTAGTTCTCACTATATATCTAAAATATTTATGTCAATGTGTAAAAATAGAAACGTTGCTGTCATTACAGTTGAGCGGCCACTGGCGTACAGTTTGAGTATAACTCGAAAACACTGCTTGCTATGTTCAGTGCGTGTTTGCACTGCTTTGTCGGCAGTCAGTACAAACTGTATACAAAAATAAAACGTTTTCGCGCTCTGTGAACCGCTTAACTGCACGATTAGACGAATCATTTCAACAAGACCGTGTGGCCTAATGGATAAGGCGTCGGACTTCGGATCCGAAGATTGCAGGTTCGAGTCCTGTCACGGTCGAAGACAATTAAGTTTTTTATTTATTTTTTTTTAATTCAATATTTTTGTTACTGCTTATACTCTGGATTTTGTTTTGGTATTTTACGTGTTATGTATTCTAATTATATATTTTGCTCAAAGACGCGTGTCGTCTTGGGCATAAATTAATACGGCCACTGAGAAGACGTCTAGCTAAACCACCCATTGCCCTAGTATTTGGATTTTGCATGCGGCGCTGCCCACATTGACCCAGAACCCGGTGACCAGGTTAACTTAATCGACACTGACAAGCGAGCGCCACCGGCAACTGATATAAAAGCCTTAACCATGCCGCGGAACTGCATCACATCTTGTGTGGCATCTAACCAGGCACAATATCCAGCAGCGATAAAATTCCAGCAGCACAAAATGGCGAAAAGCATACAAATCTTCTTGCTGTCGCTAATGTTGCTGCTGCTGATGGGATTTTACAGCGCCAAAGCCGCGAACAGCTATAAGGTGTGTGGTTCGGAACTGACCGAAACACTTTACGTAGTCTGCAAGGGCAAATTCGGTTCCTTTCAACACCACAAACGCGGCTCGTGTAAGTATCTCATACACTAGCTGTGGTTGCAGCTGCGCCTGTAACTGCGGCAACAGTTGCTGCTGCTGCTGCTTTGGCTGATTGGCTTTGATTCGAACAGCAATTTGCATTAACGCATTTCTGCATTGCAGTGGATCTCTTTGACTATGTGGACCAGCAGTACGAGGCGAACGATGTGGAGGACAGGGACACGCTCTGGGGATTGCCGCCAAGGAATCAGAATTCCCTGGTGGCCACCAGGCGGCTAATGCGCGGCGTTGTCGATGAATGTTGCCGCAAGCCTTGCTCGAGATTGGAAATGTTAGAGTATTGCGGAAACTAAACCTGAATTGCTAAAAGTAAACACTTATGTATTCCAACTCCAGTTCGTATTTCCCTAAATATAATGTATATGCATGTATTCCTGTTAAAGCAAGTGTACAAAAACTGGTTCGCCTAATATAACGGAGGAAATAAATAACCTTCAATGAAACCAGAAACAAAGAGCATATCTTCAATTATCTATCCAGCTAAATGCTCGCTATGCCAAAAGTCGGTCTAGTAGAAAGATTTGGCAAATCTTTTCAATATATATCTTGAGCTATGATTCAACTACTTTGTGCTCTCTGAAAACTTCTGTTAGAGCTACATATTTGCACACTTGTTCGCCCTTTGTATTTGTGCTTCACTGTAGTTTTAAGGCATCCTACTGTGAGTCACACTTGCTATGGCAGCCAGTCAAAAGATGCATCACAACTTTTGGCTAGGCGCCTGCATTGTGTTTGTTGACATTGTTGTTGTTGCTACTAAATGCAATCCCCCGCCCTGCTGGCCCCCTGGCACGTTCCCCACCTGCTCGTGCCCCCTCCTAATTTGTGCGTGTGACTCATCGATCGTTAGAGAATTGTTTAGCACTTATATAAAGTTTGCAAAAGTATCTCGCAGCTGCGATTATTAACATACATTGTGAAAGGCCGCTGGAGATGGTCGCTTTTGTTGCTGTCGTTGCTGTTGTTGTTGTTGTTGCTGCTGGCAAGTGTTTTGGCCCAAACAGCAGCAAAACTTGATAACTTTTTGTGTGTGCACACGCGAACGCGTTTAAAGACTGTCTGTCTGTCCGTCTGTCTGACTGCGTTCGGTTTGTTTGCTTGGGGGCGCTTTAATTTTCACTTGCTTTGTAATTAAATTGTTAAAAAGATACTTTTGTTTTCTGCCTGCCGCCGCTGTTGCACACGTTTTGTCGCACGCATAGACACCGAATAACTGAAAAGCTACTTAGAGTGTGTGGCGCAGTTTAGGCCGGTTTATTTGAACAACAATTGCTAACAACAATGCCAGAGATAATATGTTGTTGTTGCCCATTTTGGCGGCGACAGCAGCAGCAGCAGCAGCAGCTACAATTTTCAAGTCCACAGCATCTTTCAGATACGCGCTGTAGTTGTTGCTGTTGTTGTTGCTGCTACTTATGTGTAGCACTTGGTAATTACAATTAAAAGTCAAGCGGTTTTAATTGTGCGCTGCCTGTGTGTGTATCTATGTGTGTGAGATACAAATTGAAAGCAACTGTAACTACAAATCGCCAACAGTTGTCGCTGGCAGAGCTGCTGCTGCTGCTGCTTCTGCTGCTGCTGGCGTCGCAGTTGCCGTTGCCGTTGCCGTTGCGCTGCACTGCACAAAGTGCGCCTCACAGCTGCGCTATATCATCCTCTATATATACTGGCACACACACACATAGACTAATGCGCATATATGTATATACCCTGTACATTAATGTGTTCTCAGCCGTGCACCTGTGCAGCAGCCTCAGATACAAGATATAATGGCAATGACTGCCTATTTTTCTTTCTATGGAGGCTAACCTCATAATGGGGGCTAACTAAGGCCGACTTTTGCCCTTTTTAATTTATTATTTTTTTTTTATTAACGTGCAGCCTTTCATCTTTCACTTTCGCCCAGTTTCTATGAAATTATGCATTTAAATGTGTTAGGGAATCATTTCGTTTAACTCACCCGTCGGCCCCGAAGGCCTTCAGCTCGCGATTCAGCGTGGCCTTAACGTTCTCCTGGGAGTAAAGGCCCATTGGTGAATTGAATTGCTTGTGCACAAGTTTCCGTTGTACGGCAGCCATTTTGCAGTAGTTGTTGCTCTTGTTCAAGTTGTTGCTGTTGCTGCTGCTGCTGCTGTTGTTGTTGCTCGTGTTGTTTGGCTTGTCTTCACTTGAGCTTCTGCTGCTTCTTTTTCAGCTTGTTTATTCACTTGCCTTTGCTCGATTCTGTTCGCTGCTGCTGTTGCTGTTGCTGCTGCTACTTCTTTCTGCTATTTGTTGTCCGGCTTGTCTTCGAAAACTTTCAAATTATCGTTGATAAAAAAATATTTTAAAATTTCAGTTAAGCCTAGTGTTTTTGGAGCGCAAGTTTTAAGAGACTAGGCCGCTTAAAGGCTTAACAGTTGTTGTCGCTTTTGTTGTTGTTGCTGTTGTTGTTGTTGTTGATGTTGTTGTTGTTGCGGCAATTCTAAACAATTTACCCTAGCTTCAATAAATCTGTATATGCCCGCTAGTAAGTAGCTTAATTTAAATCGTTAATCGTGGTTCGTTGTTCGTTCTGTAATTAAAATGTCAAATGCGAGATGCGAGATGCGTTAGTTAAATAAATAAATTGGCAATGTATTACATATGTGCGGGGTGCACACAATCTGATGAATTACTTATTATTTATGGCTGTCACACAGCTATATGATAACATATATGACTACAGCCGAATGCCATTTCCGGCTCATTAAGTTCCGCTTTTTACAATTTTAAATATTCATGTCATCTGCAGCATGCACAAGTTGAACAAACCGAATCCCCGTTGACAACTTAATCCCCCATATTACGCATACTTATTGCTGTGCGAACATTTATTGTAACGCCCTCAAGAATTCTGTTTTTATTTTCATATGATTTGATATGCATAATAAGTAAACTTCTTAAATCCCGTGTAAGCCTTTTAATTGTTATTGCTGTTTACTTTCATTTAATTTGCATCTTCCCTTTGGGCTGCGTCTCATTTCAGCTTTAATTCTGTTTGGAATTTTTAATATTCATCTCTGGCCAATTCATGCTCACATATTTATTAATTGAAACAAATTGTTGGACAATCTATTTGTTTAAAACGTTGCTGAAAATCGCGCATAAAATTTAATAGAGCAAACAAAAAATCAAATTATTCAAATTCATTCAGAAAACAAACTTTGTTTAAAGTAAAAATCAAATATGGAAGCCATTATTCACATGCATATATAATACATTTAAATATATATGCATAGAATGTGTATATGTTCCAAATGTTGCTAATCAACAGCAAATGCTTCAATGTCAGCGCATCATAAAAAAATATATATATAGCTATATATAAGAAATATAAAATCCAATATAAACTTTTGTATATATCTATATATAGATAGTTCTACTGGAAGCCTCATCAATCACATATATATGTTGCATACATATCAATTATATGTGTATTAATTTCGAGTTATTTAAATTTTTGCTGGCGACACGAATCTTTTGTAATTATTATGCTCATTATTTGTGTCGTTTACAGCTGCTGCAAACAAATTACAAAATATTATGAGATTTCGACAGTCGTTTTGTGTTTTTCTGGTTTCTGCCTTCCAATGCCTATCGAGACACTCACTACTGTCACATTTAAAAATGTATCTTAAACTAATTTGAGCAGCACTTTTTGGCTGCTGAAATATTATTATTTATATATGTTAAGTTTTGTTTTTCTTGTTGCTTCTGTGTTAAAAATAGATGCGACAGCGTCTTTTATATTGAAATATGCTCAGTTTTTGCTATTCGACAATAATAATTTCCACACGCATACGCAAATGCCTGAAATTCTCATTTTCTTAGTTTTAATTCTGCACTGTCTCCCTCTCTTTCTCACTTCCCCACACTCTCACTCTCTCCCTCACTATTTTTCTCACTCTCTCTCTCTCGCTCTCAAGTACATTCCCGCCTTGTGTGTCACCTCAAATAAAATTAGCAACTTTGAACAAATGGTATTATACAGATTTGCGTCATTTCTGCTGTCTGTCCGACTGTCCGGCTGTCTGTCCGGCTGTCCGCCTGTCCGTCTGTCCGTCTGGCCATGTGTCAGTTCTTCTGTGCATGTGTCGGCCAGCATAAGGAAATAGCAGACTGTTAACGAACATAATTCCAATTTCAATTCTTGTTGTGCTCATTGCTGCAGCTCAAATTGCTGCAGCTCAAAGGAAAATATATGAAAATAAAAAATATATGTTGCAAAAGCGACATGCACAAACGACGCACGAGAGCGTGCTGAACTTTCAAATATCGTGTACCGAATGACACATATTGAAGTGTCTTTAATATATTTGTAGTGTGTGTGGAATAGTTCGACTATATAAAACTTTTGTTTAGGAATTACATTTTTCTTGTTAATGCTTTCGTTTAATCTGAATAAGCTGTAAATTAACATTTTGTATCCATGTTAAGCTCATGTTAGAAACTCTGCCTTGTTATCTCCCTTTCTATCGCCCTCTGTTATATGGATTTTAAGTCAATTGACATTTGCAGAGTTAATTCATTATGTTACTGCTAATCGAAGTAATTAGTTACTGATGAGTATCATTATGGACAATTACTTTCCCTTTAAGTATATATTGCCTTTTAACTGAAAAGAACTGCACTGTAAACACTTTTATTAATGTTAAGACTTCTTTATGTAAAAAACTGTCCCTTTCCGTCCGCAACCTCTCTCTTAATGCGAGCCAAATGTAATTAAGTATTGATGGAAATCGTCAGAGACACATTTCTGTTTGTTAATTAAATATAAATATAAGCTTATTCACATGATTGTCCGCCAGACTTTATTAAATAGTTGTTCTCAAGGCACTTGAGAAGAGGCAATTTGTCTTTTAAATTGCAATAAATGTGCAACATTCCCGCTCATATACCTTATGTGCTTATTGAATGTAGGGCAAACAAAAAGTGGCAGCAAAATGCAGTGAAATGCAATAAAATGCTTAGCTCTCTGGCCAAAATACTTGAAATGACGTACGTTTTAGATACGTGTGTGTGTGTGCGTGTGGCTGTGTACGTGTACGTGTGTGTGTGTGTGTGAATTTTATGTGTGTTCGTTGATTTGCAATTTGTGCGTTTTAATTGAGCTGAACGCAGCTGTGGCCTGCAGCTGTTCAAATGGCCAAGTTATGAGCTATTTTTGCATGTGTGTGTGCGCCCAAAAGCACGCAACACTTTTCACAACTTGCGGAAATTAATCAGAATTTAATAAAATATGAAAATCTCACAAAGTAGCAGCAGCAGCAGCAGCAGCGGCAGCAGCCACTACAATGCATATGCCGGCCACTTGATGTCCCAATTAAAGTTTTACACTTTCACACACACACTCGCACACACACTCGCACACACACAAGGTGTACTTAGCAGGGTATTAAAGTGCGCATGAATTGTGCGAAAATTCGCATAAAAAATGCAGGCGCACAAAAAATATTGCTTCGAAAAAAGTTGCGAACTGGATGCCTGTGTGCGCTGTGGGCGTGGCCGCCCCCGCTGAGCAAATTCTGCCGCACGCACAGCACGGCAGCTGCCAGAAGCAGTTGGTTGTGTTGGGGTGTGCGAGCATTTTTTGCTCAGCTTTGGCTTCATGGAGTGTCAGTGTGTGTGTGTGTTGGTGTGTGTGTTGGTGTGTGTGTGTGTGTGTGTGTGTGTGTGTAGCCATAGAAACAATATACGAGAATTGCATTGAAATCAGGTGCAAATATTGTTGCATTTGCATTGGAGCGCAACAATTTCGCAGATCTATGTATCTATATACATATGTATCTATATCTGTATCTGTAGGTAAGTCTGTTTATGTATCTGTATCTACGGCAGTGCGGTGTTGTGCTTAACGCTTGCCCAAATGCTTGCCAGGCATTTGCAGTTTGCTGTTTGATTTAATTATTAGAGAATGGCGCTGTGTTTGGTTTGTTTTTAGTTAAATTGCTTAAATATTTCATGGCACATATAATTTGTTTACACTTCGCTTTTTGCGCTCCCAGGCAGCCCAAAATTTTAATTAATGCACATTATTCAGTTTGCTTATTTGCATATACATATGTGTGTAAGTGTGTGTGAGTGTGTGTGCGCACTTACCGTCTGTTGTAATTTGGCGCTGCTTAATCCAAAAATAATGCCACCAAATCGCTAAAGTTCGCGTCGTGTCCGTGCTGCAGCTTCCACGCCTTCCGACTACGCCTTCGCCTTCGCCTTAGCAGTTGCATTTTCATGGGAAATATTAACACGCTATCGGAAAACTGGAGCACCCGGACACATATTTGCGTGGCGGCCCGTATACGGCCACGTTTTTTCCGCGGCCGTTACGGCCAACCGGCGTTTTGTAAACGAACTGAACGGAACAATGCGGCGCAGAGCTCAACACGTCGCATGCGGCTCCGGCAGCAGCTGCGGCAGCGGCAGACGTTGCCGTTGCCGTTGCGGCTGCGGCAGCCGATTGTAGGTAAAGGAAAATAGAAATGAAAAACTTTACGCAATGATCATGCGTTTCGCTTTTCGCTTTCTCATCATTCTATAGTTTCACAGCAGTTTCCCCAGCAGCTGAACAAAGTTGTGTGCGTAGGGGAGCGATACTCGTACAGTCGCGTCCCCGCATAAAGTGCACGGCCATGCGAATGATGACTGAGCAGTTGTTCCAAAGAAAACAATCCCAATTTATGGATGCTTAAGCTAACTCTAGATATCGTTCAATTAATTCATAACACTCTAGTAAGATCATCCTTTAAATTTGACTAAGTGTAAGTCAATGTAAATGATATATTATATTATACATAGCCATTCATTTTCTGTTTAATATCTACAAATTATGCAAACTTAAAAATTTCAAATTTATGACAATGATTTTATTTGAATAAAAGATTTTGTCATGTGATTTTCATTCTGTATGAAACTTTTATGTCATATATCTGCCTTGTTTTAGGTAATTAAAAAAATAGACCCCTCAATAAATCAGATTAAATTATTTTGGCTTGTTGTCAAAAACCGCCTGAAGAATATTTTTCGATAAAACAGTCTGCCTACATATAGGCAAAGTGACTCAGGTCTATTCCTTCTTAAGGATTAGCTTGTGCAGCCTCTCTGATTACGAATAAGTTGTATGTAGAGCTAACGAATTGATTTCTTTTCCCATTGACTTGCAGTGCAACTTGTGGCGTACGCTACTGTAGTTTTGCAACACACAGACACATATCCAAGTAAATTTTTTGCCACTCTCTGCACAAACAATAACAACAACAACAAGAGCTAGAACAACACTCGAGACACTCAAAGTAGTTTTGGGAATAGCCCACAAAATAAATAAATACAAAACAAAAAAAAAAAAAAAAAAGCACAAATGAAATATGAAAAGGAAAATATGTTTGAAGAAAAAAAAAGAAGAAATGAAGAAGCAGAACGTCAGTCCGTCGATGGACCCGAGGCAGAGATGCTGCATTCAGCGACAGTCAAAAGAAATATGTATAGATACATATGTATCTATAGCTATAGTGTCTGTGTGTGCGTGTGTGTGTGTGTGTGTGCTGTGGCCTCGTGGACTATTACAGAATTTTTAGTGCTGCGCCTCGGCAGTTCCACGAGTAAAAGGAACACGTCTCAAATATTCTATTTTTGAGTTCAATTCTTTACTTTATTTATTTATTTATTTTTCATTCTTTGCTTTTTTGGGTCCACGTTCACGACGTTGATGTCAGCGCGACACAAAATTTTAAATTGTGTTTTTTCTATTGCAGCTTTGACACAAATAGAATAAAAAACTCGTAAAATGTCATTTAATTGTTTTGCAGTCTGCTTTATATATATATGTATTTTTCTTTTATCTATTTTTTATATTATTTGAGAATTTCTTTATGCAGTTTTCGTTTGTTTTTCATGATTTTTGCTTGAGAGTGGTTGGCCAATTTGTATTCAATTGCTAATTGCGCTTTAAATGCTAATTAGCTGTGCTGCCAATTTTATGGGCTGTGTTTTTTATATACATATAAATATATATTTATATATATATATTTCATTTTTTTTGCATTTTCGTTTTCAATTTAATTAAATTTTGATTGCACACACGCGCATTGTGGTATCGTTGTCTCATATCATATAAATTTTGGCTTGTTGGCGACGTCAGGTTTTCACGTTCGCCCCACAATAACAATAACAGTGCACAAATGCACAAAGCACTAGCACATACGCACACTCGCACACACACACACACGCTCGGCGCACACACACCTGCAATTGTGGCGCTGTGCACTGTCAGCGACTACGGCTACGACTACGGATTCTGACAGCCTGTTGGTTGAGGTGACCACGTTCGCGATGCGAATTATAATTGTTACTCGCTGCTCGCTTTTCCACCGTTCGTATTTTCATATGCCAACAACAGCAGCAGCAGCGGAATCAGCAACAGCAACAACAGCAACAGCAACAGCAACAACAACAACAACATTCAACACTTGCCGCAAGTCGTTTCATCCAAAAAGTTCGCTAAAGCAGCGAAAAGTGGCTGCTGCTGCTGCTGTTGCTGCTCTTGTGGTTTCATGGAAAATGGAAAGCTATGACACACACACACTTACACTTAGACACACGCCAAGCTACAAGATTCAGATACAAAATATATCTACTTTGTACTTATACCTATAGTCCAATCGCCCACACACAAGCTTATAAATTCGCCTGTCGGCCTGGCTAATCGCGTATTTTGATACAACCTCCACGTAAAGAGGCTGCACAAAGCAATAAATATTAGTCAGACACACACACACACACACCCATTCACACAAACACACACACAGTCATAGTCATCAGCTAATTAACTACACTATAACGAATCGCTATATGTATGTTACCTAGCGAAAACATGTATTCAAATGCGTTCTTTTTTAAATATTCAATATTTATTTTTGGCCTTTGGAGAGCAATTTTAAAAACTGATTTTCATACACTATCCGCAGCGTAAAGTTATAGCGAAAAATGAAATGGTCTGTAAACTATTTCCAATCAGATTTATTCAATTTTTGTAGTTATCTTCTAATTTGGCTTGATCTGAAGGAGCTGCTCGGACTTCCAACTTTCAAACTGAATCATCATTAAAGTGTAAATTGATGCAAAATAGTAAACTTGTTGGCCACAAGAAATTGGAATAATCTAACCATACTTGTTAGACTCCAATTTTGGGTAGAAATCAAATATAGCCCGCAACTTCATTATGAAAATATTTAAGACAAGCAATATTTTCAGTAGAACGGGCAATATATTTTGAATAATGAAATGTAATTTAACTAATAATATTAAGTTTAAATTGTCAAATTAATATTAAAATCAAAGTTCAAACTGTTTGCAGACCTGGATTGCTTTTAGTTTCTATAAAGCAAGGACAATGTTTTCAGAAATAATATTCCCATTAATTAGCAAGTTAATGATCAACAACAAATGGCTTGATTTTCCAGGGTATCTGCCACTCGAGCTAACTTAGTTATTCATTTCACCTCCTTCATCTCATATATAAAAGTTGTATGTGTTTTTATATTTTTGGAATTTTGTATTTTTGCTGTCCGTTGAACGAATACAAGTTGTAATTGTTGTTGTTCTGGTTAAATGAAGCGGATTTCACACAAATAGAGATATATTTCGGGGTTTATGGGTTTTATGCAGTGCGGTCAAGCGCAGCAATTAGTGCATTCGAAATGCCTGATATACCTGTCCGAGCTGTCGGGGCGGCGAAAGTGCGCTGCGAATTCATGGCTGGCACTCAATAGCATCATGTCAGGTGATCAATCCCACCAGCAGAGCCAGCCAGCACAGAAAAAAGCTATTCACCTGACAGCCAACTAAGCTGCTTGAAATTTCATTTTAGTATTTCACGCTAGAAAGCCAGGCGAAAAAATATACAAAAAATCACATATATATGCTTAATGTTTGTGAATGATTAATGGGACATTAGAATTGAAATTGTTTTGCTCATGTGGCATCAGCATAAGCAGAACAAGAGGCCAAAGCAGCGACTGTGGCAGGTGCAGCAGCAACAGCAGCAGAGGCAACGGCAGACTATACTTTGCCATAATGTACAAATATTTATATGCCTTTTTTTTCGCATGCCCAGTCGCAGTCTTTTACCCGTTCCCAAGCTGCTTCCCGATCCCACTGCAAATGGATGTGGCCTTCTATGAGCATATTGAGCACCTCGCAGCTACCTGCTGGCAGAGCCACAGAGCCAAACAGGTGAGTGTTTATATATGCATGCCAAAGTGTGGAAGCTGAAATCTAGAGAAAATACAAACAACAACAACAACAACAACACAGCAAACATACACGCACTCGCACACCACACATAAGCAGCACATAAACACTTATGCATATACTGTATGCTTATAATCCATAGTTAGAGTTGATGTATTCGTATACCCTGTTGTCTAAAGTTTGTTAATTGGGCTGTTTTTTCTATAGTAAGGACAGAAGCAGATATATGTTACGCCAGCTTTTGGCACAAACCACAAAAGACTTAGACAATGCTTCTCGGTTGCCTCATTGCAACCTTGAGAAATGTTGCCGCTGCCACCGCCAAGCCATTATGATCATCATCATCATCATTATCAATATCGTCATTATCAATATCGTCATTATCATAATTATCATTATCATAATTATCATTAACATAATTATCATTATCATAATTATCATTAACATAATTATCATTATCATAATGATCATTATCATAATGATCATTATCATAATGATCATTATCATAATGATCATTATCATAATGATCATTATCATAACTATCATTATCATAATGATCATTGCTATAATTATCATTATCATAACCACTACATACATACACATATGCATACATATATGCACATATATATATCTATATATACATATATACACATAAGTATATGTACATATATACATCTACATACATGCATCTACATACATACATCTACATACAAATCTACTTATCTACATACCTGCCCACCTCCTCCTGGTCCACCGCCTCCTGGTCCACCGCCTCCTGGTCCACCGCCTCCGGGTCCACCGCCTCCTGGTCCACCGCCTCCTCCAGTTGCTCGTCCACCGGCGGCTGGAGCCAACTGACTGACTTGTCGAATATTAGCAAGGCCTACTTGAATTCATGAGAATCGAGGAGGACAGCATTAAGAAATACGTTGATTTCAAATTGAAGCGCAGCTGCAAGCAGGCACAACTCAAGTTCAGTAGGTTGCTATTACACTTCTCATTATAGAACTTCACTAATTATTAAAGCATGAATACCCGCGATACCTACTTTAATTCGTGAGAATCACGGAGAAGGGCAACAAATCATTTGAGCGCCGATATTATTTGCAATATACAATCATTTTATTGGAGGTTTTTAGCATAGAACACATTCTAGATCCTAAATTAAGATGCTCTTTGGGATCATGCATAGCGCCATCTTCTGTTCAATCATTGAACTCGCTTTTGATTCAATAAAATGCTTTTAAAAAGCATCAGATAGCAGCTTCAAACTGCTCAGTCTATGTAGACCGCTTGAAGCGAGCTGTGCGTCTTTAAAGCCGGGCGTGCGCGATTCGTATTTATTAATTATATACATTATCAGTTTTTATGCATATATATACATATTACTGAATAATGCTATCAGCCATATTAACAGTGTTGGCAGCATGTTCACTAGGTAAGAACAATATATTTTTGGCATTATAATTTGAAATTCGGTTAAAAATTCAATGTTTATGCCTGGTAGAGGATATTAAATATTGTCTTCAAATATGTAGCGCATAGAGAATTAGGTTCCCAATTCGTGCGAACAAATTTTCTGTTTCTTCAAGTAAGCTCCCCTAACTTGGCTATTCTTCTTACATATTTGCTCGCCGGCAAGCCAATAAACAAATATCTAATAAAGCAGCTAATCTTATGGGCGAATTTTTGAGAATTTTAATATGAAATGTGCATTATACGACACAATTTTTGAGTTCACGATCAGGTCTTGAAAGGTCTTTCGTTTATTTGATTTGCAAATGGGAAAATTCACCGATTACACACAGAATTATACAGAATTGGATCAAAAGATCCAAGATTATATTGAATAGTCTTGTTTGATTTTTGTCAGTAAGGTTTTTATAGAATAATACATACATGGATACAGATGTGGATCATACGAAAAAGAAACCTTATCGCTTGCTTCTCGCTAAAAAGTTACAGTGCGACCATTTAGTATTCGCATACTGTCGCATAATAATAATATATATTGATCTAACTAATTGAACAAGATGCAACAAAAGTCTTGCTTATCGCTTGCTTCTCCCTACACACTCACCGTTGGACCACGAATTGGTTGCATTAAATCAACCTTTTATTAGTTGTATATTGAAAAAGGATTACTTATCGGTTGCTTCTCTCCGAACAGTTGAAGCCGGACCCCTGACTACTTGCACTCCAGATCAATTTGCGTGCCAGAATGGCGACTGCATTAATGGCACACTGAAGTGCGACGGTGTCAAAAATTGTGTAGATGGCACCGATGAGATCTTCAACACCTGCTATAACACAACCTGTGCCGAGAATTTCTTTCGCTGCAACTACGGCGGCTGTGTGCCTCATCACCTGACATGCAATGGCGGCAACGATTGTTGGGATAAAAGCGATGAAAACGTTTTTTTGTGTGCGGATGAGGGAAAAGTGGACAAATTGCTAGCCGAGTTGAAAGGTAGCTGCAGGTGAGACTTGGGCTCAGATTAGATAGCGGCAGATATTATTTAATAAGACTCTGTACAGAAACTTTTACGCATTGCAATGCAAGGAGGACACCAGGTGCGTGAAGTGGAGCCAAATGTGTGACGGCTATATTGATTGCCCCAAGGGCGACGACGAGTCTCCGGAATTGTGCGGGGCCAGCATATGTCCCACCGGTTCGTTTCGCTGCGAGACTGGCGCCTGCATCAGTGGCAATTGCCTCTGCAATCAGAATATCGACTGTTCCGATGGCAGCGACGAAATACCCGCTATATGCCTCAAGAGAAAACAAACCAGCCCAGACATATTACCTCCAACTGGTTCGCCAGCGGCTCCCCCCAACGTCTGGAGGACCAACTCTTGCGCCTTGAAGACAGAGAAGGGTATGCGAGTGGAGGATTACTTTTTAGAATTTACGTTCCGGCCAGATGGCGAGGTGCCGGACAAAACCATTGTGTCTCTGACCTGTGAAAGCGGCTATGTGATTTTTGGACCCAATATCAATAAATGCGAGAACGGACAGTGGCTAAATGGACTCGATCTTCTTCCCCACATCTGCATACGTGTCTGCGATCAAAGCCCGATTGTACGGAACATTAGCTATGCGACGCAGTGTGTCTCCGATAATGCTGTTGTCGATTGCCAACAAAATACGTTCATAAAGGACACCAAATTGTTTGTAACTTGTAAGCCCGGCTTTAGGGCCAAATCGAGTGCCAATCAATTGGGTCGACACAGTTGCAATGAGGATGGCGAGTGGTTCGTTGAAGAGACCAATCCAATTTGTGAGCCCGTCTGTGGTGTAAAATCTCCGCAACATCCCGACAACACGCCCTGGTCTGTGACCATCTTTCAGCGCCGCTTAACCTCCCAGCCGGACTATACCTTTAATTGCTTGGGCACTATACTATCACCATATATTGTAATTACGGCCGCGGACTGCTTTTCGGATAAGAATCCAAAAGATTCACATATTTACTACACCATCGCGGAGGGCAATCACAATGTCGACTTCAGCCAGAATGAGGACCATGGTTATATTCTACACAACATTTTGGATATACACTTGGTGACGTTGTAAGTATCAAAAGAAATTAGCTTCTAAGTATTCTTATACTGATCTTTACGTTCATCTCGAATATATCACAGCAACATGGCACAGAAGGCAGCTTTACTTACTCTGGTAAAACCCTTCAGACTAGGTGCTCTGGTCCGACCCATTTGCTTGACTGCTAACCAGGCAGATAGTTCACTGCAGATCGTAAGTGCCGGGGACTTTAGTAAGCAGCAGTTGGGTGAGGGGCAGACGGTATATGAGAACTCGAGGTATATCCTAACACACATTGTGGCCAGCGAATCGAGCAAATATAATATTCAAGCATTTATCAGCGCTATCAAAAATGAAATCGCTAAGACGGAGAAAAGCCCTGAACTTTTCACTATGATTTGATTAAAAAAAATAAATAAAAATTCTTATTAAATAAAAACGCACAGACATCTACTACTGCTAATTATATAAGTATCTTACGCGCATTATTAGTTTAATTAACTAAGGCTGTGTTAAAAGTTTATTATTTAATTTATATACATAATAATAATAATAATAATAATAATAATAATAACAATTATAATAATAATAATAATAATAATAATAATAATAATAATAATAATAAATACATACATACAGACATACTAGCACACATATGATAACATCACATACATAATTTAAGTTCAGTAAACTAGTAAAGCACAAAAGCCTGCAGGTCTTAGTTCAGATAATGAGAATTGCAGGGCAGCATTTAAAAAACGTTTGTTGAATACACAAATAAGTATAATATTTACATAGTTATAAGCATGCATGCATCAACAAATACAAACATACTTATAAACATAGACAGATACATACATATTCACATCGCTGTACAACTACATACCTGCTTTAATTCTTCCTCCTACACTTCCGACTCCACCGTCAAAGCTACCATTTCATGCGAGCCCTACTTGATTTCCTGAGAATCGCGGAGAAAAGCATTGAAAATATCTTTCTTTTAATGTTGTAGAGCAACGAAAATAAACTTGGCCTGCATATGATGCAGCGAATATTCACACGAACATATATACAAATACATTTAACATATATATATATATATTACCCGGAATACATATATATATATATATATTACCCTCGTTTGAAATTATCCTTAATACTTTAAACATCAGTAGCTATTCCCATATCGTGCGCATATTAATTGATGCTCCCAGCTCATTATCCTATGTAATTTTTTATAATACAATATTTTTACATGATAACGGATAACGGACCTGCTTACAGGGTATTACACCGTCGCGCATTTCTAGCAGTTGCTTCTGTAAGAGCAAAGTTGATAAGAATTTGCTTAGTTTTGAGAATGTTTTTTATTAAATATATATATTTTTTGGACTATCGTCTGTGCGCAGAAGCTAAATGAATGGGTAAAAATGGGGGGAAACCATATAGCGTAACCCAAAAACCGAATCCAATCCAATTGCTCAGGGGGAAACTTTGGCAAATTGCAGAAGCCGCAAAAACCAAAAAACAGTTTGTCCAACGGGCGCCAGCGTATGCGAATTGTCAAGGGGTGCGAATCTAAGATTCACTAAGAGTTTCTCAAATTTCTTAATAAACTTTAATGACTGCGGGTGTTGCAGTGTCAGCTGCCGCTCTTGCTGCTGTTGCTGTTGCAGTTGCAACTTTGATGAACCTGATAAACCGAAACGCCAGAAAGTGTGCAACGGCAACAGGAGCAGCAATTCATCGGGACAGCAACGTAATAAACCAGCAGCAGCAAGGAGCAGGTGGTGGGTGGATTCAGGGGGGAGGGGGGTGGGGGGGTGGTCTGGGGTGTAGTAAAAGCAGGTTGAACATTTTCGCCAATATCAAATGTTAGTGTAGATTTGCACCAATAATTTACTTGGGCAGCACGTAGCGAGTGTCACGCATGCAGCGGTTGGGCAAATTGAGGCGGAGGCTGTCGCTGCTGCTGAGGCTGCTGCTGCTGTGGCTGAGGCTGTGGCATGCAACAAGCTTGGCATTCATTTCGGTGGCAACTCATGCATTACTCATGATGTGTGTATGTCAGCGGCCTGCCCGATGACTGCCGCACGGCTTGGCTTTGAATTGTCTTTGCCACTGGCACTGCCACACTTGCCACACTTGCCGCATGGCCACTGTTTTAATATGGACGCTGCGGTTTTTGCAGTTTAATGGAGTTGGCCATAAAAAGAAAGGCGTGCCCGCGTCTGTGACTCGTCCCTTGCCCAATAGCGTTTATTTAACTGCCGACTTGTTTGCGCAAATTAACACATTTATTTATGCCACAATTTGTTACTTAAATATTTATCGAAAATAAAGCCGAGTTAACATTAATAATTTGCGTTTATTTGCATATACATTTAATAGTATTCATAATAATAGACGAATTTTATCACACACACATATGATATGGCTGGAATACAGACGCACACATGCACACATATACACGACACGCACATGCACAAGCACACACACACACGACACACGGACAGCATAAGTTGAGAGATTTAAATAGCGCGATATTTGAATAGGAAGAGTGCGCCTGCATCCAGCTTAAGATGGGGGCCCAGTTGATGCCAAAGGTCATCCTGTCTGGCTAAACTCGTATATCGTTCACTTATAAATTCGCTGGGTTGGGGTTGCTGTTGTTGCTGTTCGGCCTTGGAGGCAATACGCCCGGCTCCATCAGCCGCAGCAGCCACATCAGACTGGACTCCCGAAAGCAGCAGAGGAAGCTGAGTGCCAGCAACAGCGAGAGCAGGGCACAGCTGCAGCTGCTGAGCACGGCAACCGCAGCATGACTCTGCAACGGCAGCTGCTCCGACTCCAGACATAGTCGGAACTCGTCGTAGTCCAGGCGCGTGATGGCGCAATAATGATTGAGCATGCAACGGCCCAGGCAGGCGGCGCCCGACTGAAATCGGACGGCATTGGCGCGATGATATCTGCAAGTAGACCGAGGCAAACAGCTAAGCATCTGTGAAGCAGTAGAGTAGAGAGTTGGGCCTGAGTGGGCTGGCTACCTGCTAAACCAGGAGGCATCCTTGCCGGTGAAACGCTCCGCAAAGTTGTGCAGCGCAATGGCCGATATCTCGCCGAGCGCATAATAATGCGTCAGATTATACTCGGACTGCCAGAGCGGTTCTTGGACGCGATTGGCCAGTGACAAGTCCAGCCAATATTGCGTATAGTCGAGTACCTGGCCGCTGCCCGTGTCGAACTTGTATAGACGCAGCGCTGGATTATTGGAGACGCCAATACCCTCCTTGCGCGGCACCACCGACGGCGCTATCATCAGCCACGAAATGGGCGTGCCTGCGCGTAAGCAAAGTTTCATATGCTGTTCAGTAGAGGATTGGTATGACCTGCTCACACGTACCCTGATCATCGTAGATTAGCCGAAAGGTGTCCGAGTGCAGATGCCCAAAGAACTGGCCCTGTATGACCGAGGCATACTTGCGCACCAGCTCCAGGTAGCGTCTATTGTTGCGTTCCGTGAAGATCAGCTGACCACGATGCTGCGGTCCCATGTAGCGCTCATCCACGCCCGGCGGCATGTGTCCAACTATGTAGACCTTCACGAGCAAGCGTTGTCAAAATAAACAAGCTTAGAGTATATGTATGTTTGCTATTCCCCAAACTCAAAAGGCAACAGAAAAACTCCATCCCCCAACGTAACATTGGAGTTTAAATAATATTAAAAGTGTAATTACGAAAAAAAATCAAATAAAAGCATAAGCTTAAAAATAAAGGTTCTCTAGTCGGTTATGCCCGACTAGGAAGGTAATTAAAATAAATATATTATTTGGCGAAAGAACCGATTGCTGGAAATATTGGCCAAATGAGTGAAGTTATCGAAAAAATAACCTCATGATAGGCGTGATATAATCAAAAATAAATATAAACAAGTAAGAATGGTCAAGACGGGAGTGCCCGACTAGTGGATACCCTGAACCAACTATTACCGACAAGCTACGCGCATGATTGCCTTAATTTAAAACCTTAATACTTAATACTTAATACTACTCTACTCTAGAAGCCACATGTCAAATTTTGTGATTCAAACTACTAATAAATTAAAATTTGGTAAAAAAAAAAGAGTTTGATATCGACTTTTATCGATTACCTGCGAACGGTGCAAGCTATCGATGACCTACGGTCAAAACTTCAAGTCTCAGCTCTTACGGGTTCTGAGATCGACACCTGCATCCATACGGGCGGACGGATGGACAGATAGACAGACATGGCAAGGGATCGTCTCGCCTTTTGATGCTGACCAGGAATATATATAAGTAGTTTATAGAATCGGAGATGCTTCCTTTTGCCTGTTATATACACTTGCACAAAACCAATTTACTATTTTTAAGTATTTGCAATGCCTTCATGGTATTATGTTCTTTCTGGGCTTACCAGATGCTTCCTATCTTTTACAAGATATACCCATTATATTGTATGGCAAATTATATGTCTGCCTACCGTTTCCTGTTTGTCCCTTGACTTGGCCAGTACCTCATCCAGCCACAGCCACTGTTGCTCGGCCTGCAGTTGATCCTGGTCGGACGTTGTGCGACTGGGCTTCGCATAGTAGTCACCCGACCAGCGCAGGCTGTCCGACTGCTTAGCCTCGGAGAGGAGCTCGTATCGCATAAAGTTGGTGTTCAGGGCAATGATGCGGAGACGGCTTCTGGTTTGCTCGATGGAATAGTAGCCGCCCTGCTCGAACGTGACGAGTGCCTCTGTGGGCAGCCAGTGGCGCCAGAGTTCGCCCATTTGCTTGTACTTGTGGAGGCCGCTGCTGCCATCTTCGTGGCCCAGCACGGGGAATATGAAGGGCGAGGAGAAGCTGCGTCCCAGCAATTCGGTGATGTTGCGCAATGTCTCGAGCTGTACATGCTCGGAGCGTGCCTGAGCGGAGTGCGAGAGGGCATCGCCAGTCCAGAGCACAAACTCCACATTGTCGCCCTGCTTGGCCTTCATGGTCTTGACCGCTGACTCGACGAGGCTCCAGGGACTGTCGCAGTTGTGGTTGCCAAACGGGCCCGGCGACTCCGTCTCCGTCTCCTGGCGCCCATTGGAGCCAACGGAGGCGCTGCTGTGCGCCAGCTGCCAGCAGCTTTTGTAGATGTCGCCCTGTGTGGAGTAATGTGTGTCTAGATGCAGGTCGCTGATGTGCCAGAAGTAGCCTGTAAATGCAGTGGAGAGTCAGAGAAAATTAGAGACTGCGGATTAAAGGGGCAGCCCGTTGGGCAATTCCTACACGGGAAAGGCCACGCGCCAGGCGGCATTTGCTGGCCGGCTGGCTGTAAAAACCCGGCGAAGATTTGCCTGCAATTGACCTAACTGACCCGAACGAGCCGCGACCCGCGGACCGCGACACCTACTACCGGCTCTACCTGCCAGAAGTCAAGAAGTCACACTTGATTGCCACGGCGAGCCTTTGAGGTGATCATCGGCGAGTCCACAAATCAGTTGGCGTTGGCATGCGCAGTGATCAATTTGTAAGCGAGAGCCTGAGTCGAGCCGCGAGTCGAGCGACAGGAAAAAGGATACGCAACCGTCCGGTTAGTGAGAGAGTAGAACCGAGACTGGAACAGGGCTGGAGACTGGCGATCGGGATTTGTATGACAGCAAGATGAGTTTGCGTTTCAGTCTGGCGCTGTTGCTGATGGTCGCCATGTCGCAGCTGTGGCAACAGGTCGACGGCAGGAAGAAGCTGTGCGGCGACGCACTCAACGAGGCCCTTGACCTGATATGTGTTAATGGATTTTCACGCAGAATCAAACGCGATTGTAAGTGGACAACGCCACCCCATCAAATATTCTGCCTACTCACATTCAGCTTTCAAGCGGACCGTAGCCCACGGACACCCGAGCAGGCGCTGCGGCGCAAGTGGCAACTGTTGGCACTAAGGCAACAACTGGATGGACCCACCGAGCACCTGAAGGACCCACACCTAAACAACGAGCCTGACGGCGATCCACGTGAGCTGCGACGCCCACGTCGCAGGATAACGCACGAGTGCTGCAAACAGGGCTGCAGCTATGACGACATCCTGGAATACTGCGCCTAGCGGGGCAACCAATCGATTGGACATGGCCTGGCTGGCTGGCGGGCAATTTTGATACGACGAGCCAAAAGCAAATCGACTTTTGCGAATTCATTCAACTACATTTAATCCCACCCCCAAAAATATACTTTTAATTATAATTTCGCAATGTTTTATTGTAATATTTCATGGAAGCAATAAAGTTACTCGATAACAATAGCAACAAACAAAAGGCATCTTCTGGCCAAAAGTACTCCCTCACGAATTGGCCCACTGAGCCGAGCGGGCGGGCACATTCCCCGCATTTCCACGTCAATGGAAATGCTATGCCCTTGCATTCTCGGAACAATAATGAAAATTTTGAATTTTTAATTAGATGACGTTGTGTTTTCGAAAGAACAACACGCAGACAAAGGATTTACGCTGAATTCTTTATACTCTAACAATGGCATTCTGAGCGTAGTTTTAATAAACATTCAGTTTTTATTATTTATTACTTTAATTTACCTATAATACAGCGGATTCTGTTGTTAACAGAACAGTCCTCTGCTGTGGATTAGAGCTGTGCTCTGTTAAGCTGTTTGCTATGTTAATGCCAGCGTCTATTTTAAGCGAAGGCTGTTAACTATTTGAATTCGACAAATCTAAAGATAGAAATTTGCTTTTGTTTAGTTATAACCAAGTACATTTTGTTTGTTTACTTTGGATCTGTGTAAGCTATATAGTCAGTGTACTCAAAATACCCTGGTCGCATTTTAAATGCGTAATAAGGTATAATCATTTGGTGCTAGTGTATGTAACAGTCAGAAGGTAGACTTGCTGAGATCTGAGAAAGATTTCCCATACTATTTATATTATATTGATAAATCTCGAAAGTTATAAGAGTTAAATAGATGAAACTTTATGTATAGACTCTCGTGTACCTCACATTCGATGAGAACTCATTCTTAAAAGTAGATTGTGGCTAATAATATCGGACAATAGGCACCGAAGTTATTTCTAGAGTAAACGGAAGAAACACAGCATGCTTTATAGAAGGAAGGAAAACAGCTTGATGCACAGCTTAGGGTATCTACTAGTCATGCATTTCTAAAAACAGCACTTTAACTTGTTTTCAGAAAAACTTTAATGCCCTCTGCTAGAGCATAGGTAAACAACATTAAGCGAAAAGCAGGGCATAGCAAGGTGCAACAGTTGATGGGGTGGGGCACACTTCACTTTGTTTTTCCACAGTCTGCGATCTATGCGTAATTATTATTTGACGGAAAAACATAAACAAAGACGTCAGCTGATATGAGTAAAAGCCTCCCACACACTCGCACACACGCACACCCAGTCAAGGCTGTGAATAGTCCCCGACCAACTGACACTTCACCTAACGCCGCCTGACAGTGTGCTCAGCGGAGATGGCTGCAGTGGATCCGCGCCAGCGTTTGGTTAACATATAAAACGCTGCTGTGCCACCTGGTAAGGCACAGTTGTGGTCTGTTTATTGACGTGGCTGATACGAGTTGTCCGTAAATGGGCTTCGCCATGGGCTTCGAGTGCTCCAAACTGCAAGGTCTGGTCTGCAGCGCGGCGCTGCTGCTGCTGCTGGTGCTGCACGTGCAGTCGATGCGGCTGTGCGGCACCGAGCTGCCTGAAATGCTGGAACAGATGTGTACCTATGGCTACAACACCAAGCTGAAGCGCTCCTATGGTAAGTGTTTTGCCCCTGGCCCTGCCACTGCAAACTAATCCAACTCAAGCACTTGCAATTGGGTGTTGGCAGTGGGGCCGGTTTTCAATGCCATCGATAATACGAATTCAGATGCGGACGCGGACTTGGATCTAGGCTCCTACGCGGAGCTGGATCTGCAGTCGCAGCCGCTGCTGCGCGCACTGCTGGGCGAGAGCGGCCATCACCTGGTGAAAACCCGACGCCGGCGCTACGGCGTGCACGACGAATGCTGCCGCAAATCGTGCAGCCTTGAGGAGCTCAACTACTACTGCAAGAAACCCGAAAATTCCTAAATGACATGGACATGGCACTGCATTCCGTTAAGGATTAGACTAAGACCAGCTCATGATTGCTAGCTCCTAAGTGTATCAATACTTATATATATATATATGTGTATGGATGTTAATATATTAACTATGACGAGACCCGTTAATTGAGGTAAAATAAAATAACTTGTGCGTCTTGCAAGGATATAATATTGCCAAAAGCTAATTATTACAATCATATTTGAAACTGTCTCCAAAACTGAACAAACGAGCACGTATGAAAAGCTAGTGGATGAGAAAATTTATAATAGATCGAAAAACTGATGAATTATGAAAATCGCTTGAGATTTGACCGAGTTATGGGAGTGGGATATATCGACCTATGTCTATATAGGACATTTGAAGGGTATCATTTTGACATGAATTTCGACCAAAAATAATGTTTCCAGATTTAGATGCCAAATTCATCTAGAGGCTAAACCGTTAATAAAAAGCCGAACCTTATGAAAATCTGTTGAGTTTTGACGGAGTTATGGGAGTGGGAAGTTTAGACCTATGTCTATATAGGACATTTGAAGGGTATCATTTTGACATGAATTTCGACCAAAAATAATGTTTCCAGATTTTGATGCCAAATTGATCTAAAGGCTAAACCGTGAATAAAAAGCCAAACCTTATGAAAATCTGTTGAGTTTTGACCGAGTTATGGGAGTGGGATATATCGACCTATGTCTATATAGGACATTTGAAGGGTATCATTTTGACATGAATTTCGACCAAAAATAATGTTTCCAGATTTAGATGCCAAATTCATCTAGAGGCTAAACCGTTAATAAAAAGCCGAACCTTATGAAAATCTGTTGAGTTTTGACGGAGTTATGGGAGTGGGAAGTTTAGACCTATGTCTATATAGGACATTTGAAGGGTATCATTTTGACATGAATTTCGACCAAAAATAATGTTTCCAGATTTTGATGCCAAATTCATCTAGAGGCTAAACCGTTAATAAAAAGCCGAACCTTATGAAAATCTGTTGAGTTTTGACGGAGTTATGGGAGTGGGAAGTTTAGACCTATGTCTATATAGGACATTTGAAGGGTATCATTTTGACATGAATTTCGACCAAAAATAATGTTTCCAGATTTTGATGCCAAATTCATCTAGAGGCTAAACCGTGAATAAAAAGCCGAACCTTATGAAATTCTGTTGAGTTTTGACCGAGTTATGGGAGTGGGAAGTTTAGACCTATGTCTATATAGGACATTTGAAGGGTATCATTTTGACATGAATTTCGACCAAAAATAATGTTTCCAGATTTAGATGCCAAATTGATCTAAAGGCTAAACCGTGAATAAAAAGCCAAACCTTATGAAAATCTGTTGAGTTTTGACCGAGTTATGGGAGTGGGAAATTTCATATTATGTCTATATAAGACATTTGAAGGGTATCGTTTTGACATGAATTTCGACCAAAAAATAATGCTACCAGATTTAGATGCCAAATTGATCTAGAGGCTAAACCGTGAATAAAAAGCCCAACCTTATGAAAATCTGTTGAGTTTTGACCGATTTATGGGAGTGGGAAATTTCGACCTATGCCTATATAGGACATTTGAAGGGTATCATTTTGACATGAGTTTCGACCAAAAATAGTGTTTCCAGATTTAGATGCCAAATTGATCTAGAGGCTAAACCGTTAATAAAAAGCCGAACCTTATGAAAATCTGTTGAGTTTTGACGGAGTTATGGGAGTGGGAAGTTTAGACCTATGTCTATATAGGACATTTGAAGGGTATCATTTTGACATGAATTTCGACCAAAAATAATGTTTCCAGATTTTGATGCCAAATTCATCTAGAGGCTAAACCGTGAATAAAAAGCCGAACCTTATGAAATTCTGTTGAGTTTTGACCGAGTTATGGGAGTGGGAAGTTTAGACCTATGTCTATATAGGACATTTGAAGGGCATCAATTTGACATGAATTTCGACCAAAAAGAATGTTTCCAGATTTAGATGCCAAATTGATCTAGAGGCTAAACCGTGAATAAAAAGCCAAACCTTATGAAAATCTGTTGAGTTTTGACCGATTTATGGGAGTGGGAAATTTCGACCTATGCCTATATAGGACATTTGAAGGGTATCATTTTGACATGAATTTCGACCAAAAATAATGTTTCCAGATTTTGATGCCAAATTCATCTAGAGGCTAAACCGTAAATAAAAAGCCGAACCTTATGAAATTCTGTTGAGTTTTGACCGAGTTATGGGAGTGGGAAGTTTAGACCTATGTCTATATAGGACATTTGAAGGGTATCATTTTGACATGAATTTCGACCAAAAATAATGTTTCCAGATTTTGATGCCAAATTCATCTAGAGGCTAAACCGTAAATAAAAAGCCGAACCTTATGAAATTCTGTTGAGTTTTGACCGAGTTATGGGAGTGGGAAGTTTAGACCTATGTCTATATAGGACATTTGAAGGGTATCATTTTGACATGAATTTCGACCAAAAATAATGTTTCCAAATTTAGATGCCAAATTGATGTAGAGGCTAAACCGTGAATAAAAAGCCAAACCTTATGAAAATCTGTTGAGTTTTGACCGAGTTATGGGAGTGGGAAATTTCGTATTATGTCTATATAAGACATTTGAAGGGTATCGTTTTGACATGAATTTCGACCAAAAAATAATGATTCCAGATTTAGATGCCAAATTGATCTAGAGGCTAAACCGTGAATAAAAAGCCGAACCTTATGAAAATCTGTTGAGTTTTGACCGATTTATGGGAGTGGGAAATTTTGACCTAAGCCTATATAGGACATTTGAAGGGTATCATTTTGACATGAATTTCGACCAAAAATAATGTTTCCAGATTTTGATGCCAAATTCATCTAGAGGCTAAACCGTAAATAAAAAGCCGAACCTTATGAAATTCTGTTGAGTTTCGACCGAGTTATGGGAGTGGGAAGTTTAGACCTATGTCTATATAGGACATTTGAAGGGTATCATTTTGACATGAATTTCGACCAAAAATAATGTTTCCAAATTTAGATGCCAAATTGATCTAAAGGCTAAACCGTGAATAAAAAGCCAAACCTTATGAAAATCTGTTGAGTTTTGACCGAGTTATGGGAGTGGGAAATTTCATATTATGTCTATATAAGACATTTGAAGGGTATCGTTTTGACATGAATTTCGACCAGAAAATAATGCTACCAGATTTAGATGCCAAATTGATGTAGAGGCTAAACCGTGAATAAAAAGCCCAACCTTATGAAAATCTGTTGAGTTTTGACCGATTTATGGGATGGGAAATTTCGACCTATGCCTATATAGGACATTTGAAGGGTATCATTTTGACATGAATTTCGATCAAAAATAATGTTTCCAGATTTTGATGCCAAATTCATCTAGAGGCTAAACCGTGAATAAAAAGCCGAACCTTATGAAATTCTGTTGAGTTTTGACCGAGTTATGGGAGTGGGAAGTTTAGACCTATGTCTATATAGGACATTTGAAGGGCATCAATTTGACATGAATTTCGACCAAAAAGAATGTTTCCAGATTTAGATGCCAAATTGATCTAGAGGCTAAACCGTGAATAAAAAGCCAAACCTTATGAAAATCTGTTGAGTTTTGACCGAGTTATGGGAGTGGGAAATTTCGTATTATGTCTATATAAGACATTTGAAGGGTATCGTTTTGACATGAATTTCGACCAAAAAATAATGATTCCAGATTTAGATGCCAAATTGATCTAGAGGCTAAACCGTGAATAAAAAGCCGAACCTTATGAAAATCTGTTGAGTTTTGACCGATTTATGGGAGTGGGAAATTTTGACCTATGCCTATATAGGACATTTGAAGGGTATCATTTTGACATGAATTTCGACCAAAAATAATGTTTCCAGATTTTGATGCCAAATTCATCTAGAGGCTAAACCGTAAATAAAAAGCCGAACCTTATGAAATTCTGTTGAGTTTTGACCGAGTTATGGGAGTGGGAAGTTTATACCTATGTCTATATAGGACATTTGAAGGGTATCATTTTGACATGAATTTCGACCAAAAATAATGTTTCCAAATTTAGATGCCAAATTGATCTAAAGGCTAAACCGTGAATAAAAAGCCAAACCTTATGAAAATCTGTTGAGTTTTGACCGAGTTATGGGAGTGGGAAATTTCATATTATGTCTATATAAGACATTTGAAGGGTATCGTTTTGACATGAATTTCGACCAGAAAATAATGCTACCAGATTTAGATGCCAAATTGATGTAGAGGCTAAACCGTGAATAAAAAGCCCAACCTTATGAAAATCTGTTGAGTTTTGACCGATTTATGGGAGTGGGAAATTTCGACCTATGCCTATATAGGACATTTGAAGGGTATCATTTTGACATGAATTTCGACCAAAAATAATGTTTCCAGATTTTGATGCCAAATTCATCTAGAGGCTAAACCGTGAATAAAAAGCCGAACCTTATGAAATTCTGTTGAGTTTTGACCGAGTTATGGGAGTGGGAAGTTTAGACCTATGTCTATATAGGACATTTGAAGGGCATCAATTTGACATGAATTTCGACCAAAAAGAATGTTTCCAGATTTAGATGCCAAATTGATCTAGAGGCTAAACCGTGAATAAAAAGCCAAACCTTATGAAAATCTGTTGAGTTTTGACCGAGTTATGGGAGTGGGAAATTTCGTATTATGTCTATATAAGACATTTGAAGGGTATCGTTTTGACATGAATTTCGACCAAAAAATAATGATTCCAGATTTAGATGCCAAATTGATCTAGAGGCTAAACCGTGAATAAAAAGCCGAACCTTATGAAAATCTGTTGAGTTTTGACCGATTTATGGGAGTGGGAAATTTTGACCTATGCCTATATAGGACATTTGAAGGGTATCATTTTGACATGAATTTCGATCAAAAATAATGTTTCCAGATTTTGATGCCAAATTCATCTAGAGGCTAAACCGTGAATAAAAAGCCGAACCTTATGAAATTCTGTTGAGTTTTGACCGAGTTATGGGAGTGGGAAGTTTAGACCTATGTCTATATAGGACATTTGAAGGGCATCAATTTGACATGAATTTCGACCAAAAAGAATGTTTCCAGATTTAGATGCCAAATTGATCTAGAGGCTAAACCGTGAATAAAAAGCCAAACCTTATGCAAAT